GAGATGGTGGAATCAGAGGGAGGTGGTGCTGGAGCAGAGGGAGATGATGGAGCAGAGGGAGGTGGTGCTGGAGCAGAGGGAGATGATGGAGCAGAGGGAGGTGGTGCTGGACCAGAGGGAGATGATGGAGCAGAGGGAGGTGGTGCTGGAGCAGAGGGAGATGGTGGAGCAGAGGGAGGTGGTGCTGGAGCAGAGGGAGATGATGGAGCAGAGGGAGGTGGTGCTGGACCAGAGGGAGATGATGGAGCAGAGGGAGGTGGTGCTGGACCAGAGGGAGATGATGGAGCAGAGGGAGGTGGTGCTGGAGCAGAGGGAGATGATGGAGCAGAGGGAGGTGGTGCTGGAGCAGAGGGAGATGATCCTGGAGCAGAGGGAGATGATGGAGCAGAGGGAGGTGGTGCTGGAGCAGAGGGAGATGATGGGGCAGAGGGAGGTGGTGCTGGAGCAGAGGGAGATGATGGAGCAGAGGGAGGTGGTGCTGGAGCAGAGGGAGGTGGTGCTGGAGCAGAGGGAGATGATGGAGCAGAGGGAGGTGGTGCTGGAGCAGAGGGGGAACAGAATATTTCAGGCAGCTGAAATAATCTGTTCCCCCCCTTTAATTTTTGCAAATAAAGAGTAAATATGACCAAATCCGCAGGATTTGTTCTTGGTGGTGAGAGGAATAAGCACAGTTAAAGACTAGCAGGTAAATCAATTTCTTCCCCTGATATGGAGGGGGAGCAGATTATTTCAGGCAGCTGAAATAATCTGTTCCCCCCCTTTAATCTTTGCAAATAAAGAGTAAATATGACCAAATTCGCAAGATTTGTTCTTGGTGGTGAGGGGAATAAGCACAGTTAAAGACTTGCAGGTAAATCATGGGCGTAGGTTTGCATAGGGACCATAGGGACATGTCCCTACCAAAATTTTGAACCGACCTAATTGTCCCGACCAATAATTGGATGTGAGCAACATGTTTATAATTTACAGCAGTAGTTGTTGCAGCAGTGGCTTCTTTTCCTCTCGCAGCTCCTCTGCCTGGTCTCTCCTGTCCCTTTCATGTAGCAGCGCAGGGAACTGTGCTGCGCTGTTTAACTCAACTCTCATTGGTTGTTCTGCCTTAAGTATTCACACTAGAATGCAGCGGTTACTACAATTAATATTAGGCTACAAAACTAGTCCCAATAAAAAAAAATGAATATCATGTACACTAAAAAACAAAAACCTTTTTTTTTCTTTTATAAAACGAAATATTCTGAGTCAGCCAGGAGTTCTGAAGACTGCTGGAAAAATGGGCAAATAAAGGCTGTAAGCCATCAACATTTCTGATTCTTATCCACAGCCAACTAAAAAAGAAAATGTGAGGATTTCAATTTTTACCGATATTAAGTTGATATTACTGTTTTCATTTTTTTGTTTTTGTTTTTACAATTTTGATATAATAACTGATCTAAGTGGGTTGCTCTGTGGGGAAAGGCACATTTTACATTTATATTACTGTATGTTTTAAAGTCTCTATACTCCAGTTAATGATGAATCACGTACTAAATTAGTTGACGATTATTGAAATAATCAATTAATATGATTCATTTTTTTCAGCCCCAGATGAAATACATGAAATGGGCGACACAGAGTAACTACAGCCCAGATGTTCAACTTTTATAGTGAAGTTAATATTTTAATGAATGTATTATTTTGCTTGATACAGAGAGAGAATAGTAGGTACAAATATAAGAGTGGGGTTTAACTCTGCACAATTCTATATCTTCAAAAGAAAATACTGTATTTACCTTCTCTCTTAGTCGTTCAAATGAAACCATTTTCAAAGTGGAAAACAGTCCTAATTCCACATTCATCAGGGCCGGTGATACTTCAAACATTGATAAACAGCATCTAATGAGTGTAGAGCTTATAACATTTTTATTAATGGAGCAAAATGTTGCTTTTCTCTTTTAACAATGAATTCCTCTTATCAGTACGGATGCTCACATCGAGCATAAAAAAGGACATGCATATTGCATAGCACCAATGACACCAGACCAATAGTGTCCCTACCAAAGTTCAAATCAAACCTACGCCCTTGAGGTAAATCAATTTCTTCCCCTGATATGGAGGGGGAACAGAATATTTCAGGCAGCTGAAATAATCTGTTCCCCCCCTTTAATTTTTGCAAATAACCAGTAAATATGACCAAATCCACAGGATTTGTTCTTGGTGGTGAGGGGAATAAGCACAGTTAAAGACTAGCAGGTAAATCAATTTCTTCCCCTGATATGGAGGGGGAGCAGATTATTTCAGGCAGCTGAAATAATCTGTTCCCCCCCTTTAATCTTTGCAAATAAAGAGTAAATATGACCAAATTCGCAAGATTTGTTCTTGGTGGTGAGGGGAATAAGCACAGTTAAAGACTTGCAGGTAAATCATGGGCGTAGGTTTGCATAGGGACCATAGGGACATGTCCCTACCAAAATTTTGAACCGACCTAATTGTCCCGACCAATAATTGGATGTGAGCAACATGTTTATAATTTACAGCAGTAGTTGTTGCAGCAGTGGCTTCTTTTCCTCTCGCAGCTCCTCTGCCTGGTCTCTCCTGTCCCTTTCATGTAGCAGCGCAGGGAACTGTGCTGCGCTGTTTAACTCAACTCTCATTGGTTGTTCTGCCTTAAGTATTCACACTAGAATGCAGCGGTTACTACAATTAATATTAGGCTACAAAACTAGTCCCAATAAAAAAAAATGAATATCATGTACACTAAAAAACAAAAACCTTTTTTTTTCTTTTATAAAACGAAATATTCTGAGTCAGCCAGGAGTTCTGAAGACTGCTGGAAAAATGGGCAAATAAAGGCTGTAAGCCATCAACATTTCTGATTCTTATCCACAGCCAACTAAAAAAGAAAATGTGAGGATTTCAATTTTTACCGATATTAAGTTGATATTACTGTTTTCATTTTTTTGTTTTTGTTTTTACAATTTTGATATAATAACTGATCTAAGTGGGTTGCTCTGTGGGGAAAGGCACATTTTACATTTATATTACTGTATGTTTTAAAGTCTCTATACTCCAGTTAATGATGAATCACGTACTAAATTAGTTGACGATTATTGAAATAATCAATTAATATGATTCATTTTTTTCAGCCCCAGATGAAATACATGAAATGGGCGACACAGAGTAACTACAGCCCAGATGTTCAACTTTTATAGTGAAGTTAATATTTTAATGAATGTATTATTTTGCTTGATACAGAGAGAGAATAGTAGGTACAAATATAAGAGTGGGGTTTAACTCTGCACAATTCTATATCTTCAAAAGAAAATACTGTATTTACCTTCTCTCTTAGTCGTTCAAATGAAACCATTTTCAAAGTGGAAAACAGTCCTAATTCCACATTCATCAGGGCCGGTGATACTTCAAACATTGATAAACAGCATCTAATGAGTGTAGAGCTTATAACATTTTTATTAATGGAGCAAAATGTTGCTTTTCTCTTTTAACAATGAATTCCTCTTATCAGTACGGATGCTCACATCGAGCATAAAAAAGGACATGCATATTGCATAGCACCAATGACACCAGACCAATAGTGTCCCTACCAAAGTTCAAATCAAACCTACGCCCTTGAGGTAAATCAATTTCTTCCCCTGATATGGAGGGGGAACAGAATATTTCAGGCAGCTGAAATAATCTGTTCCCCCCCTTTAATTTTTGCAAATAACCAGTAAATATGACCAAATCCACAGGATTTGTTCTTGGTGGTGAGAGGAATAAGCACAGTTAAAGACTTGCAGGTAAATCAATTTCTTCCCCTGTTATGGAGGGGGAACAGATTATTTCATCCAGTTGAAATAATCTGTTCCCCCCCTTTAATTTTTGCAAATAAAGAGTAAATTTGACCAAATCCGCAGGATTTGTTCTTGGTGGTGAGAGGAATAAGCACAGTTAAAGACTAGCAGGTAAATCAATTTCTTCCCCTGATATGGAGGGGGAACAGAATATTTCAGGCAGCTGAAATAATCTGTTCCCCCCCTTTAATTTTTGCAAATAAAGAGTAAATATGACCAAATTCGCAAGATTTGTTCTTGGTGGTGAGAGGAATAAGCACAGTTAAAGACTTGCAGGTAAATCAATTTCTTCCCCTGTTATGGAGGGGGAACAGATTATTTCAGGCAGCTGAAACATCCATTCTCTCCTCTCCTCCTCCCATATCTTTGGGAAATAAAGAGCAACTGTTTCCAATTTCTCTAAAATTGATATGTGTGATGTGATATAGCCTACTATAAATGTCCTTAATCCAGTAATCTGTCATATTTTACATTAGAAGGTGATTAACCAGAAATTCTTCTCTCATCTTCGCAGGACGTCTTAATTTGTGTGCCCTGCTATCAGCCAGTTTCCATCCTCTTATATCAGCAATGAAAAATTAAAAATACACTACGTGTTGTTGTGTTCGGTGACTGACGTTTATTTCTGTCAGGCTGAAGGGACAAAAGTTGGAGAAATACCGATTCTCTTGGCGTTTAAAAAAACAACACAAAACAGCGTAAGAGGACCTCGTTAATGTATTTATTTTACAATTTTTTAAAAAAGAGCAACCGATTAAAATGGATGTTACAAAGTTGAGATGATTATATGAGCTGTTTTTACCGAAAAATGATCAGGAGCGCCTTGAGGATGGTCAGATCCGCCTCTCTGGCTGCAATGCGCGCTCCCGACACAGGGGGAACAGATTTTCATGGGGAAACAGAATTTCGCACAAGAGGGGTCCTAGTTCACAATCGGTAGGGGGCCAACATCATTGGACCAGTATGAAGTTGGAAGAGTTGAGAACTTCCTCACACTAGGAAGAATACTGACACTAAACCCTCATATAAAATCAAGATGAATTCCGTTAATATATAATTTAAAATAAACTATGACTGGTTAACTTTAAATCGGACGTCTTTCTGCTTTTTTCCCCCTAATGAAGGGTGCAGTCGGTCAGAAGCACACGTGAGCTGCATGGTTCGCCATAGTTTTGAGCAGCAGCAGCAGCTACTGGTTCACTAGTTTGGTGACTTTCAAGATGGACGCTATAAGCTAGATAGGTTTCTGTTTCTTTTTCGCTTCGCAGAGCGCATATGGTCGACCATCCATATCAGGAGACACGTAGGGGGACTCGAGAAGTTTCCTATTTGGCGGATGTATGATTTAGAGGAGGGGGGAAGTGAATAAAGTTGAAGATATTCGCCTCGTCGTGTTTGGACGTGGTGGATATTTTGTAACTTCCTGGTTCGCTTTGACCTGTCAGTAGACTCGGAGGACCCTGGAAGCTTCCGCTGGTTCTGGATTTGTGGGATTTATTATTTTTTTTCTTCACTCGTTTGAGATGTTTGAAAGCGGGGATAACTCTTTAAAAAGATACGCCAAGGGAAAGGGGCAGATTTCATAAGCGATGGAAAGTCGTAATGGTGGTGCATCGAGTGAAGGTGACGAACGTCTTTTTTTATTTTATTTTTTTTAAGCGTTTGAAACTAAAAAGACGTAAAACCCCCATTTGTGACGCAGTTAGTAGCTTTTTTTTAAAGCCTTAAATCCAGCCTAGGTGTTGTTTTTCAGGTCAGCCTGTCCCTGAATTGTCAAATCGTGTTTCCCTGCTCTCTGGCTGCAGTTTTCTGTAATTTTCCAGCTCCTTGTCCATTTTTCACTAATGGCCATATTTTCTGTGCACTCTTCAGGTATTCTGATACCTGTGTGTGAATCTTCGGAGCTCTTTCACACCAGTATATTGGCTCCACTTCAAAGTGCGTACTTATACGAAGAATCAAAGCACTTTTTCAGATACAATTCTGCTGTTCTAGTCAAGAACCCCGACCTGGAGGAAAAGGTCTGTTCAGTCTGCCCTTCCTTCACCACACAACCTTAATTTAACCAGAATTATACACAATTTACATAAATTCACATTTAGTTATACTGTTTATTTAATACTTATGTAAATTTACCCCCTTTATATAATAAGTAATCAAAGTAAAACCAGTTAAATGTTAAAGTAAACCTCCTTTTGTACCTTTAAAAGTTTTATTTATGTTTTAAACGTCCCTTTCCACATTAGTACCACGCGTTTCGAGCAGGGAAAAGAACCGCAGGCTACTCGGAAGAGGATCTCCAGGAAACATTTGGCTTTTTGTTGTTTGACGATGGCAGCAAGGTAGTCTATAGTTTAAATAAACCCGGCCTAATAAAGGTTTGTTGTCAAATGTAGCTGATTTTTGCTGTCTGGATGTTCTTAAAGGCGAATGCTGTTGGAAAAAGCGGTGTGATCTCTGGAAACGGCTCATGCACAACCTTAGGAGACCCAGCAAAAGGTAAAAAATAAATCACACCTGTTTTCTACTAAACGCGCTCACTCTGAGCTCTGATTCAGCCAGGCGAATTCAACCACAACTACAAATGTTTTGAGTCGGTCTTTAAATATAATTACTTAAGATAAACTTACCTATGAAATGATTAGAGGAGAATAAATCCAGATCTGTTGTCCAAATGGAGAGCAGACGCTGTTTGTTTGGCTGTGTGCTCCATTTGAAAGAGAAAGCAATTTTTAGAGCTCTATTAATGTATACAACTGAAAGTGAAAAAAAAACTTATTCTGAATGAAAGTGAAACTGTGATTTGCAGACATATAGGCAGGATGCTGAACTGTATAAACTTGTAGGCACTATGATCACTGCAGCACCAGCTTTATTGGGTTTCAGCAGCAACATGGCCTTCCTGAGTTTCTATTTATGTATTAACAGTAGTCTAAATGTAAAAGAAAAAAAAAGAAGGGGGATGGTGGATTATTTTAAATTTTTGAAGCATACATAGCCTAATTAATATAGCCTAAAGCAATATGCATGGTCAGAGGCGGATTTAGGAAATTTGGGGCCCTAGGCAAAGACAGGCAGGGGGCCCTTTGAATTGATAAGACGACACACAAAGCAAACTCATTATACAGATAGAGAAATTTGAATAGAACAGACATACATTATTTGTTCTAGGTTTTGTCCCTTCTCTTGTTGTTTTCCTCTCTGTTTTGTACTCAGCTGACTTTTCATGCTGCCACAAAAGGGATGAAAGTTTTTTTTTTAAGCACTAAGCTCCCTTAACTGATTGCTCCTTCCTGTGTTTCGAAAAAGGGCGACGGCAGAAGTAAATAAAACATTCCTTGTCATGACCTGCTAATCTGTTCTACATTTTTCAATTGTATGTAATGATAGCGGCATGAATCATGACAGCAGACAAGATGGTGGAGAGCAGGAGGCAGGGTTATCAATCTACTTGCTCTGGAGAGCAGACTTCGGTGCTTTTACATGATGTTGCTAAAGTCTCCAGTAGCAGAAAAAAGTTGCTTGATTTGGCGCTAGGCTCTTTTCTTTAAATCAAGTGCTAGAGGGGTCTAAAAAGTCGCTAAATATATAGCGAAAAAAAGTGCTAAGTTGGCAAAACTGCTCTTCCTGCCGTTTGTTTTCTAATGGTTTGCTGCTGACTGTTTGGACCTTTTTGAACATGTGCAGCAAATGGACTGATCCAATATGGTGGACACTAGGGGTGTAAATCACATCCATCATGGCGATTCGATTCAGTATCGATTTCCTGACCCAACGATTCGATTATTTTCGATACTTAAGAATACACCACGATTCGATTCGATTAATCGATTAATCGGTTAATTTTTTTTTTATTATTATTTTTTTTTTTTTTTACACCTTACAGGCTAAACAAAGTTTCAAGTTTGAAATAAATCAATGAAAGCTGTAATATCGTTATGCATTTTCTTTAGAAACAACAGCAAATAACAGAAGTAGAAAAGCTGCATCAAAAAATGCTGTAAAAATACTGCACAATATCAGTGTAATGAGTTCAATGCAATACCTCGGCTCCAAAGAAACTGTCCAACATATTTTTTTAGAATTTAATAAATATACTCAGGAAAGAGAGATGTTGTGTAGAGAGTTAGACAGGAATAAACGTAAACTAGATATAAGGGAATTGTTTCAAAGGTCATCTGGGGATGTAGTTTTTGGTAGTATTTTTAATTTTCTAAGAAGAACGGGTATTTTAGGGAGAATATAATAGTTTGTCTGGTCCATACTCCATTCTGGAAGGTGGCGGTAATGCACCTATAAGTTGTTTGCCAACCGCCATTAAAAAAAAGAAGAAGAAGAAGGCTCCAGAGTGTTGACGTCGCCGACCCCTTGAGAGACGCTCTGCTGCTCCTCTCCCAGATTGTAGCTGACCGCAAACAGTGCACCAGACAGGAGGGCGGCTTGTTTTGTTTTTATGACCGAAATTGCGGAAAACAACTCGTGAAGTTTGACCCGCTAGAAGAGCGAGGTGCGCGAGAACGCTGGGAGCCTTTTTCCAGCTGAATCTCCGCTCTTTTTGCCCCATTGTCCCTCCGTCGTCGGACTAAACTCGCCCCCACTTCCTCGCCGCCTCGGCCGTATCTAGACCCACAGCGTGTAGCTCAGACCACGCTGCAATATTGAGCATAATTTAAAAATGTCTGTGTGAAGCTTGCTGCAACAAACTGCTGTAAGAGTATAACCAGGAAGCGCGGTAGGAGGGCAAAATAAGTTTAGCGGCACCGCAGCACGGGAGGAGAGTTACGCCCAGGAGAAAATGGATAAAAATAGACCGGAGGGAAAAAAAAAAAACATTAATCGATTATCTTGCGGACGTGTCGATGCATCGGATCGTCGGCTTTTGGATCGATGCATCGATACAAAACGATTATTATTTACACCCCTAGTGGACACTATGGGGGCTTCCTAATATTAAGCATTAAGAATGTTTAATATAAGTTTTCTGATGGCGAGGGATTTTTAGCAAAACACAACTGTTGTGCAAATTGTTGTATTAGCTATAAATGTAAGGAGTTTTATGGGGCCCCCAAGAACTTGGAGCCATAGTTAACTGCCTAGTATTGCCTAATGGTAAATCCCCCCCGTGCATAGTATTGTTACATGTCAGGTACGGCGGTCATTGACCTTGACCGAGTCACCTTACTGTAGTAGTGCAGTCAGTCCCTGTGCTGAGATGGCATCACTGCCCCTCATAGTTAGGGACAATTTTCCCACTGAGATCAGCTTCATAGTCATGGTAGGACACTTCTTTGATTTTATTTATTTTGCTCAAGCTACTCATAAGCCAACAGTCCAAAATATGTTGAAAGGGAAATATTATTGCCATTACTGTAAATATATAGTGGAAACTTTACACATTCAGTTATACAATTCACAGGGCGTGGTATGGGAGGGTGGTCATTTAAAAAGGGGGGTGATTTGTTTTTAAGTTTTTAAGAAGGAGGACGCCATCCCCCCTCAACTCGAGTATTGTGTATTACAAATGCGATTGTTTTGCCTTTCATTGAAATCTTTTATTTTGACTACAGGTAAAAAGCAGAGCAAATAAAAGCTTTATTGTGTCTAAATGAATGCAGACATGCTGTGCACTTTTCTCCCAAGACTTTTAAAATTCTTTTATCCAATGATTCCCTGACGTAGATTAAACCGTTGTTCCATCATATTCTCAATTCTTTTCTTATTCAATTTAATACTTACAGGTGCTGGTCATAAAATTAGAATATCATGAAAAAGTAGATTGATTTCAGTAATTCCATTTAAAAAGTGAAACTTGTATATTATATTCATACATTACATACAAACTCATATATTTCAGATGTTTATTTTGTTTAATTTTGATGATTACAAATGACAACAAATGAAAATCTCAAATTCATCATATCAGAAAATTAGAATATTGTGAAAAGGTTCAAAATTGATGGCCCCTGGTGCCACACTCTAATCAGCTAATTAACTCAAACCACCTGCAAAAGCCTTTAAATGGTCTTTCAGTCTAGTTCTATAGGCTACACAATCATGGGGAAGACTGCTGACTTGACAGTTGTCCAAAAGACGACCATCGACACCTTGCACAAGGAGGGCAAGACACAAAAGGTCATCGCTAAAGAGGCTGGCTGTTCACAGAGCTCAGTGTCCAAGCACATTAATAGAGAGGCGAAGGGAAGGAAAAGATGTGGTCGAAAAAAGTGTACAAGCAAGAGAGATAACCGCACCCTGGAGAGGATTGTGAAACAAAACCCATTCAAAAATGTGGGGGAGATTCACAAAGAGTGGACTGCAGCTGGAGTGAGTGCTTCAAGAACCACCACACACAGACGTATGAAAGACATGGGTTTCTGCTGTCGCATTCCTTGTGTCAAGCCACTCTTGAACCACAGACAGCGTCAGAAGCGTCTTGCCTGGGCTAAAGAGAAACAGGACTGGACTGCTGGTGAGTGGTCCAAAGTCATGTTCTCTGATGAAAGTAAATTTTGCATTTCCTTTGGAAATCAAGGTCCCAGAGTCTGGAGGAAAAGGAGAGAGGCACTTTATCCACGTTGCTTGAAGTCCAGTGTAAAGTTTCCACAGTCAGTGATGGTTTGGGGTGCCATGTCATCTGCTGGTGTTGGTCCATTGTGTTTTCTGAGGTCCAGGGTCAACGCAGCCACATACCAGGAAGTTTTAGAGCACTTCATGCTTCCTGCAGCTGACCAACTTTTTGGAGATGCAGATTTCATTTTCCAACAGGACTTGGCACCTGCACACAGTGCCAAAGCTACCAGTACCTGGTTGAAGGACCATGGTATCCCTGTTCTTAATTGGCCAGCAAACTCTCCTGACCTTAACCCCATAGAAAATCTATGGGGTATTGTGAAGAAGAAGATGCAATACACCAGACCCAACAATTCAGAAGAGCTAAAAGCCACTATTAGAGCAACCTGGGCTATCATAACACCTGAGCAGTGCCACAGACTGATCGACTCCATGCCACGCCGCATTGCTGCAGTAATACAGGCCAAAGGAGGCCCAACTAAATACTGAGTGCTGTACATGCTCATACTTTTCATGTTCATACTTTTCAGTTGGCCAACATTTCTATAAATCCTTTGTTTTTATTGGTCTTCAGTAATATTCTAATTTTCTGATATGATGAATTTGAGATTTTCATTTGTTGTCATTTGTAATCATCAAAATTAAACAAAATAAACATCTGAAATATATGAGTTTGTATGTAATGTATGAATATAATATACAAGTTTCACTTTTTAAATGGAATTACTGAAATCAATCTACTTTTTCATGATATTCTAATTTTATGACCAGCACCTGTATGTGTTGTACACAAGACGGGGTCCAGTAACCTGCCAGACAGGTTTTTGGCTGCTCAGATTTCTGACCGAAAACAGATCGGTGGCATGATCTTTTGTCTTTCTTTCTACTGAGCTTTAATGGATTTAGCTTTCATTCTGTGGAGGGTTTTCATACACTCAGCAAAAATATAAACAACACTTTGGTTGTGCTCCCATTTTGTTTTATGAGATGTACTCAAAGATCTCAAACTTTTTCCACATACACAAATATTTCCCTCAAATATTGTTCACAAACCAGTCTAAATGTGTGAAAGTGAACACTTTTTCTTAGCTGAGATAGTCCATCCCACCTTATAGGTGTGCCATATCAAGTTGTTGATTAGACACCATGATTAGTGCATAGATGTGCCATAGACTGCCCACAATACAGCTTTATATGTACAGATTATATATGTGTATTTTTTTTTTCAAACAATGGTTATAGTAACATAAAAAACAGCTTTGTTTATCTTTGGTGAGTTATCTTTTTTGTAACGATTGTTTTCTGCTGCAACAGCAGCAGCACCAAGATGAATGTAAGAAGCACGGCCAGTCTAACTAAATGAGATCATTCAGGGTGTGTGGGTTTTTTTTGTTTGTTTTTTTTGCATACGGCTTGTTTTATTCCAGAGGTGACTTTGCTGGGTGTGGTTGTTCTGCTGAAGGTGTGTCAGGTTTATGAGATTCTCCTTTGACACTTCACCTTGAGCACTTTGGATTTCTTTTTTTTTTTTACAGTGTAAGAATAATTGTCTTGATGCCAAAAAGAGCCCAACAGATTTTACTTTCACAAGTGTAGCAGTATGGCAATTGCCGTATAGCTCCACTTGTTTCATGCATATAAATTGCTTTATTATAATTATGCAGGGAGTTTTACAGTTTATATGGACACTGCAATGTAAATAGAGCAGAAAAACAGAAGAAGAAAAGGAAAAAAGAAAAAAAACACTTTGGATTTCAAATCATATATATATATATATATATATATATATATATATATATATATATATATATATATATTTTTTTTTTTTTTTTTTTGTTTTTTTGCATTTACCTAAAACATTAAAGTGCTTTATATTTATTTTTCTCCTTTTTAAAGGTGTTTACATATCCATGTTCTCTGATTGTTTGGATCTAAATCGCTGGTATCATGGGAAATCTGGGTACATTGCCATCATCAAGCTGACAAAGGTACTGATAAGTAACATACTGGAGCCTCCGTTTAGAAGAGTTGCTGCCGCTGGGTTAATAATTGTTTGTTTTTTACTCTTTAAAGGGTAAAGTGAAAAACGTTGCTGAGAACTACACCCAGAATTTCACAGAACCTTCCGTTGGCTTCGACTGTCACGTGTCAGACCAGCTGCCCTCTGTGTCTGCCAAAACCAGCTCCTTCCTTGCTTTTGAGAGAACCCAGGTTAGAGTTTGGCCCTCAAAAGTGCTCATGTGGTCACTTGTTTGCCCAAGTACATAGCTGGAGGTTTATATGAACACAAAACTGCATTTTGTTTTACTCCTTTCAGTTTTACATATACGAGCTGCTAAATGATGGCAGCGGTGGAACATCTCGGTGTCCCAGCGCCGCATGTCCATTTGCTATTGTGTCGTTTTCATATATGGACACAAAAGCATCACATGTTCCACAAGAGAAAAGGTAATCTTTTTCCCTCAGTGAATAATTTTATTGAACACTTTTTTTATTTTTTTATTCAAGTTATATATTTTAATGCCAAATTTTTTATTTGTTTTTTTTATTTATTCTTTTCCTCTTTCTGTCTTTTTTTCTTTTTGTTCTAGTGAGCTGAAAATACAAGGTAAGAAAGGTTTGAACTAAAGAAAATGACTCTTATTTCTTTTTTTTTTGGGGTAACTGTTTACCAGTGTTGGGCAAGCTACTTGTCCAGTGTAGTGAGCTAAGCTATCAGTTACTCAACAATAAATTAAGCTTCACTACACCAAAGCTACCACCTTAAGAATTATAGCAAGCTAAGTTACACTAATGTGTTAAAAGTAGCTTAACTACATCAGAAGCTACTTAACGTTGTACCAACCTAATGCCAATTCAAAATGAGTCTGATGCACTGGTTAAAATATTTATTAAAGATCAGCCAATGACATAACACAGTGTAAACATTGCTTTATGATCAGCATATTAAAATAAAAACTAAAGTAATTACTAGTAGACAAACTAGTAAACAATCTGATGTTATTAGAACCAAATTAAAGGTACTGTGTAGTGTTCTACACACCGAGACATGGCTATGAGTTTGCATTCAATGGACATCTCTAGGGAAAACAAAACCCTACAAAAGATCTCAATTAAACAGTTGATTCAAGTAACAAACAAAACTGTTTACAAAAGAAGGTGAAAAAATAAAGAAGCTAATTAAGAGATACATATATATATGTCTCACCATATAATTTAATTTCTACCTACATATTTATTCATTGTATTTTTGGAGGCAATTAATTGAATGCTTATTTATTTATTTATTGAGCATTTATTTATTTATGTATTTATTTTATATACGGTAGAGCTGTTCCTCCATAAAAAATCTTATCTGTGCACAGCCTAAAAACAGATTTATGTAAACATTCTGTCAGGTAAACTAGGCCATGAAAATACAATATCTAAGTTTGACTACTGCTCTCTAATTAGAGTATAGTGGCACATAGATATGGGAGAATTATCCTGCCATAATGCAAGAGCACATAACTTCAATTAGAGAAAAGAATTTCATCTTCTTGCTCTCAAAACTTATAATGCTCACACTCAAAACATGCGCTCTCTCTCTCAAATATTTTCTCTTCTCTCTCAAATCTTTGTTTCTTATCTCAGATTTAATGCTTCTTGCACAGATATTTTCTCCTCTCGCTTGCTTCTCTTCGCGCACAAACCGCGCTCTGTTACGTTCGCAAACCCGTAGGTTCTGCTTGCGGATTTGTTTTGCTCTCTGAGACTGCAGTTGGATCGTTGCCTAGCAACCTTTCCAGCCAATAGAACGACAGCCTCGGAAAGGGTGCGCTTGTTTAACCCTACTGAGTGTGCCTGTGCTACTACGCCACTTATAAGAGCGTCAGCTGAAACTGCTATTTACAGTAGTTTTGTGGCTGATTGTTGTTTAGAAATAGAAAACCTGGTTTCATTTCTTAGTTTTGCCCTGGATTTTGTAGCGTTTGTGGACGCTACGTCGCTACTTGATCAAAACAATAACGTCGCTACAGGAAAGTTACTTGATAAATAAAGCAGCGACGCTACGGTCAAGCTACTGGAAAATGTAGTTAAACTAATAGCTTCGCTACATGTAGCGGCGCTACTGCCCATCACTGCTGTTTACATATATAATTATGCCTAGTGGTTTTATAGGAATAAATCTTAATATTCCTGTAAGAAGAAAACAAACCGTTTTGAGCCCCCACTAACGTGTCAAATATCTTCCTACACATGGCTTTTTGTTGCATCAGCAGTCAGCAGAAGACTTCATCAGCATTCTGTCTGGTCTCAGTACATACAGTAGTTCTTGATATGATTTTACTCATGTCTTTTGGCTCTAATAGGAACAAAAAAATTAAATACACGTGTTATATAAAAAGGCTGTGTTGTGTACTGCAATGGTAGCATTTGCTTTACTGTCTCTACCCTCTAGGTCTTGAACATTTCCCTGAAAGTGTACATCTCAAAATGCAAAAAAAATATGTTTATCTTCAAAATATTTGTCACTTTAAAGCCTGATGAGGAAAATAAGTATTTGAACACCCTACTATTTTGCATATTCTCCCATTTATAAATCATCAAAGTGATATTACAAGTTTTTCTAAGTCTAAGAGACATAATCTACAAAAATCCATGATTTTTATTTTTTTGTTTAACTATTTGTATGATACGGCTGCAAACAAGTATTTGAACACCTGAGAAAATCAATGTTGTCCTTTGTTTGCAATAACGGAGGTCAAATGTTTCCTGTAGTTTTTCGATAGGAGGGATTTTGGCCCACTCTTCACTCCTTCACTCCTCACAGATCTTCGCTAGATCAGTCAAGTTTCTGGGCTGTTGCTTAGAAACATGGAGTTTGAGCTTCCTTTCAAGGATTCTCTATTGGATATATATCTGGGGACTGGCAAGGCCACGCCAGAACCTTGATATGCTTCTTTACAGAGCCACTCCTGGGTTATCCTGGCTGTGTTTTTCAGGTCATTGTCATGTTGAAAGACCAGCCTCGACCCATCTTCAATGCTCTAACTGAGGGAAGGAGGTTGTTTCCCAAAATCTGGCAAGGCATGGCCGCGGTCATCCTCTCCTTAATACAGTGCAGTCTCCCTGTCCAATGTGCAGAAAACACCCCCAAAGCATGATGCTACTACCCCAATGCGTCACAGTAGGGATGGTGTTCTTGGGATGGTACTCATCATTCTTCTTCCTCCAAACACGGTTTCTGGAATTATGACCAAAAATGTGTCTTTTGGTCTCATCTGTCAACATGACTTTTCCCCATGACTCCTCTGGATGATGATCCAAATGGTAATTGGCAAACTTAAGACAGGGCTTGACATGTGCTGGTTTAAATAAATTCACCCCAGACATACATCAGAGGTAAAATATCAAGGTGAAAGTCATTATACCTTACATATTATAGAATATAGCACCCAACACAGCTTTGAGAATAGATTAAGACTTTGCCGTTAACGCACCCATTAACGCAGACAACAACCCACCTCTACTTTATGCAGCTAATGACTTCAAACAGGTGCATCTAGTTTAGGATAATACATGGAGTGGAGGTGGACATTTTGAAGGCAGACTTTCAGGTCTTTGTGGGTCAGAATTCTAGCCTATAGACAGGCGTTCAAATACTTATTTGCAGCTGTATCATATAAATAAATTGTTAAACAAAAATTATATATTGTGATGTCACCTACAATGACAATTTCAGACCCCTCTCCATGATTTCTAATCTGATGAACTTGTAAAATGACAGGGTGTTCAAATAATTAATTTCCTCACTGTATAAAGAAGTAGTCAATACATTTAGATTTTTATTTTAATTTATTTTTCCAAATACATAAAGTTATTGGATGATTATTATTTTTTTTTTTAGAAAAACAAATGGAAATGCATTGTTTTTTTTGTGTGTGTGTTTCTTTGTTTTGTATTTGTACACTATTGCAGGAAATATTTGTGAATATATTTTCAAACTTTTACCTCCAAACATTAATTCTCTCTCCTTTTAATAACATGCCCCACGCAAAACGGCCTTTACTACAAAAAATTAATAGGGGGATGTTGAGGAGAGTTTTAACTTTGTTCCTGAGCGAACGTTCTCTAAAATGTGTATCAGAAGTAATATCTTTTGCTGTTTAGGAAAACAACCCGTTAGAAATTACCACCTTTATTTACTTGAACTCTAGCTGGTAAAACAAACCTTCTATAGAACATTTGATCATTATCTAAACCTTGCTCTGGACTCTATATCATGGTGCTAGATGAAATGACAAGGTAAATAGCCCATCAGTATTATTTAAAGCCATGTAGGCGACTGTATCTCTGCACGATATTCATTTATTTCCTGCACCTCGTTGGTGTTGTTATTGCTGTATAAAAGGGAAAAAACAAAACAACCAACTGTCTGCAGGTTTTGGTGTAACTTGTTTGCTTATTCCTCAGTGGATTGTTTCATTTTTTTCTTTTTTTTGCTCAGTTTGTCACTACTTGACGTGGAGAGGTCAGCTTCAGATTGAGAGCCAGTTTTACCATGTTGACCTCAGGTCCAACGTCATGGCTTTTATTCCTGCACAGCTGTAGGTCCAATCTGCAAATTAAAGTCTGGTCTTTTGAATTTTAATGTGTGATTTATCAACTTTATTCTGATATAGTTTTTATTTTTCTGTTGAAGACCACCAGTGATCAAGGTCAACCAAGCCATTTCCATGTCAGATCTGAGAATCCTGTTGCCTAGAGCTGCGTTTGAAACGAGCTTTACTGAAGAAGGTATGTCTTGATTCATTTTTTTTTTTTTTCTTGAAAGTCTTTCTCCTTACACATTCTAAACAGGCCTTGGACGAATCAATATCAACACACAATCCCTTTTTTCTTTCAGTCTTCTTGGAGGGATTTTACTGTGATTTGTGTGAGTTTGTGTCCTCAGAAGCAAAGGAAGCCAACTCATTTGCTCTCCTCCTCTCAAAGATGAAGGAAAAGGATCTTGTGAGTTGGTTACCAATTACAATGGATGACTTACCCAAAGCAACACTGTTTCAGCCCAGCCCAGTAGATTTTTAATGTTTAACACCAAAGCTGTAGTTACAAAATTCCTTTTTAAATTATTTTATCTTTAGTATTAACTATTAATGGAACTTATTATTGAAGGTGTTCTCAGGTGCAGGGAGCACTAGCATCAATGTTTCAACGTGGTTTGTTTTCATCTATGAAATTAAATATCTTATTTGTCTCAGGCTCTTTGCATTCCTCTACATGATGGAGGGTTTCTTATTTTAATGCGCTCTTCACACTTCCTCAGATATGACGGTAAGTTGTGAATTTAGACTGTTAATGGAATATTAAACCACTTATTCTATCCCTTTAATCAGGCTTTTTAGTAACTTTTTGTTCTTCTTTTAGATGCTGAGTCTACCTCAGCAGAGGTCATGAATGGCCTCTTTGTGTTTCCTGACTCGCGGGTTGTGAGGAGAGGTGATTATAGTCCTTGTTTTACATTTAGATGTAATTGGTTAGTTCTCACCTGTGTATAAATTTAGGAAACTACTCTTATCTACATTTCATAGCTATCATTAGACAAGTTTGAACTCTCTAAGGTTTAGCATACATTTCTTTTAATCTAACATGCCAAACTTTTATATTCATTTCCCTTTCCTTTGATACCCCTCAGTAAAACCTAGAGCAAACAACTGCCCTACCATATTAGTTAATTATCAACATTTTCAACTAAAAGTCTGCTTAAATATAGCTACTCTGTACATTTCTTTAACGAACATTAATGACCTAACGTTATGAAGATTAAAGACCTCAGCAGTCATATCTCTTTACAAAATATACTGTAATATTTCATGCTGCACTGATGATGATTTATTACATCATCTAAAAATTGAGTGGGATGACTGCAGACATACCTAGACCTAAACTTATGAACAAGACAAAGATTAGATTAGCGAGAAAACAGCACACTTTAGAAAAGCTGCCGCTGCAGGCTAGAATTCCACTAGGGCTGGGTGCCAAGACGACAACAAAATGGTTTAGATGCAAAAGCATTATCACTTTACGATGGCTCAGCCCAATCCCAGACGTACATCCATTTAAGAATTAGTGACCTGACTTATAAATTATTATTCTGAATTTTCTCAATACACTTCTAGTTAAAGTATTCAGAAAAAAAAGGATGGGATGTGTATTCTATCTCTTAGTCTGCAAAGGCGGTAGATCTATACCCCCTAAAGGTGTGTTCACACCGAACATGAATTTCGCAGCTGGAGCAGAGGATTTTCATGTTATCTTTATGTTGATATCAGATTTTGATTGCCACTAGAGCTCAACGTTTTGGCCAAAATTAAAAATTGTGATTATCTTCGACTTATAGCAATTGCAATGTTGTTTATATTTTCCTTTTTACTAACTACAAGCTTGTAGAAGTTTTATTAAAACTTGCTTGCTTGTTGCGAGACTGTACTGGAACCTTTGTGTGAAAAGTTTTAATCCTACTCGCATGCGTTAGTCGTAGGGAAATCCTATTTAAATGTCGAATAATTCTGGCTTAAACCTGTATATAAATGTACTCTTCATCAGATGATATTGTCGCAAAATTTAGAAAATTTCTATTTAAAAAAAAAACTATTGTAAAATCTGTGTATGTTTTTCATTATCTTATGCAGGCCAGTTTATTATACGTCAGCCTGAACACCTAAATTCGGCCAATCATATATCAACGGTCATCTGTCAATCAAATTTTTCTAAATCAAACCAAGCTTCTGACTCCCTGGCGTCGTCTTCCACAACATCTTCGTCCCCACTTTCCTCCTCTAAAAAAAATGTATAGCGGAGGGGACTCATCCACGACCGCCGACACAAAACTCTCCTCCTCTTGCATGTTTCCGCTGTCAACTAGCTTTCTTTGACAGTGTCGTTTCTGAGTCACCAATTTAGTGCTTCTTGGTCCCAATGTAATTTCCCATAGGCAACCTACTAGCACTAAGTTGCTACCTGTTTAGCAACAAGGGTAGAAATCGACCACAATCAATCTTTCTTGCAAACCGTCTGCCACAACAACCCCACCCTCTTGATAAACGACCAATCAAATTCACTTTATTTACTTGTTTAAAGTCGTGCACCACTCGGGAGAATTTCGAACTGCAACGGTTGGAACGGCCGTTTCCCCACGACTTTTAATGGAATGCTAGCTGCAACTCTCTTACTTTTCTGTGTGGCGGCAAACCCACTTTAAGTGTATTACTGCCCCGTAAAAAGCTGCAGTAAAAAAATGTAGTGTATTTCTGTTGTTAAATATAATCTGATACCAAAATTGAGAACCAATGTCATTTGAAAATTGTATTATGTTAAATTGTGATTACATTGCAAATGCAATTAATTGCCCAACCCTAATTGTGGCAACTTGAGAAATCTGAAATATTGTTTACATTCGCGATGCAAAATCCAATTTTTGACCAGACGTGGCTGTGAGATACAACGAAGGGGGCGGTGGAGATGAGTTTATTTTTATTAACTGTTTTAGGGTTTTTTTTAAAACAAAAATTAAAAGATAAGAGAAAATAATGTTGACAAAGGATTAAGTTGGAATGAGGTTTTAAAGTGGCCTTTAAAAAAGTTATTTTTTAATTTAGCACTAGAAGTACTCGTTTCTTAGTCTCACCTCTAGCACAGACACTGGCTGGCCAATGCCATCTCTCCACTGCCGGCCATCCGGTTTGCCTAACAGTCTTCTTTGATCCTCGGCTGTCCTCCTTCCTTCACCCACAATTAGTCTCTAGAGCACAGGTGTCAAACTGGTTCCAGAAAGGACCGTGTGGCTGCAGGTTTTCTTTCCAACCAAGCAATGGCACACCAGACTCCATTCATCTCATCAAGGGAGTCCAATCTGAACATGATGACATGAATGGAGTCTGGTGTGCTATTGTTTGGTTGGAAAGAAAACCTGCAGGCACACGGCCCTTTCTGGAACCAGTTTGACACTCCTGCTCTAGAGGCTAGTTCCCTGGCCAGCTGTTCTCCGTTGTACCCCTGTCCTACTCATTGCCAGCCATAGCCTCTACCCCACCTCCAGTGTTCTGTCTGCCTGGCAGACTTATCCGACCTACCGCTGTGCTCCTTCAATCCTTTACAGTTGATCAGCTGTAGGCTTTCCTTGCTGTGGCTGTTCTATTTCAATATTTGTTTCACAGACAAATATTCAGGCCAGCAAAAATGGTCAAATTTTCGCAGGTTTCATATTCGGTGTGAATGCACCTTAAGAGTTAAAGTTGCGATTCCAGGAAATGGTGGTTCTATGGATCAGTGATTGAGAAGGACAATAAATACAAACACACATTGCATTTCAGATTAACTTGGAACCATTTATGCCCTTTCTTTAGATGTACAGTTATACACTTTATTGTTTTGGTTTACCACAAAAGTCAAGCTAAAATATGCTGATGCTTTTGACCGAACCATGACAAAATAAAAATCATGAGGTATGACTATCTTTAAAAGTATTTTAAAGTTTAGAATGTATATGTAAAAAAAAAAAAAAAGAAAAGGGAACTTAGGTGAAGATAGCAAATGTGTTGTGCTGACAGCGTATATATCGGGAAACACTGTATGAGTAAAAGGCAACTTAAGCCCAATTTAATAAATGGACAGGGAGGTGAGCGAGTCACAAGCCAAGCATAAAAATTATTTTGGATTTTCAGATTTTAGTTTTTCCTAAAATTTCTATCCCTGTTCCTTATACAGTCAGTGGTCCAATCCTACTTCATAAATATTTTGCTGACTTTGATACTTTGTTCTTTAAAAGATCACCAAAGCAAACACTCACTGTACTTTTATTTTTCAATTTTTTTACAGACACAAAATTCCGAGGGAAAAGCACTTCCCTGTCTAATGAGATTCTTGGAGTTCTACCAGTGCTAAGTTACGCTGAGGGCGAAGCTGAGAAGGCATGCTTGGGTCCAAACGACGAACTTTGTGAAGTGTTTGCTCAGCACATGCAGAGCTATGCTACTTTAATAAATCCAGGATTCTCCTTAGGTTCATCGAGACTATCAAGGGAACTGAGTATCTTTCCAGATCAGTACGATGTGGCAGATGCCCACAAACATCTCTATTCATCTCCTGAGTGGAATACCAGGACATGGCAAACCTTCAAGTCTTACTTGAATAAACCAGCCTCCTTTCAACTTCCAATTGCCAAGGTATCTGAAATCTTGGCGTCAGGACAAGAGGAGCGAAGAGAGGATCTTGATGATTGTGTTTACATCTGCCTGTCATCCCCTGAGGCGGGACCAACCAGCCCAGTTAGCATGGAAGCACAAGATCACTTCTCAAATGAGCAATCACAAGATAATATTAAGACATCCATGGATGTTGATTTGCCAAGTACTGAATTACAAGTTGCTCCAACCCAATTTTCTCGGATGACAGACATTTTGCTAAGTGAAAATGGTACCAAAGACTATATAAAATGTACTTCAGTCACTGAGCAGATGGACAAATCTGACGATCCGAAAGCACAAGACCCACTTAGTCCATCGACAACAGAGGATCTCCCTGCTGAGCTCATCGTCAGCTTAACTTCAGCGGAACCAAGTGTCCCCGACAAAGACTCAGAAGCCAAGCATACAGACTTTCATTTTTGTGGTCTTTCAACCATCACCAAATTACAAACAGCTGAGGTAAACTCTGCCATTGAGGAGTCTGACAAAACAAAAAACTGTTTGGATTTATCTATGGTCACCAAGCACCAAACGAGTACAAAACGAAGGAGAAGGCGAAGAAGACGCGGCCTAACAAAGAAAAAGGTTCATAAAACTTCTGTCAAGACTGAGAGTTTAAATACTGTTGTATCCTCAGTTGAGGTTGAGCATTTAAACCACAAAACAGAGGAGCAAAATGAACAATTAAATCTACCGCAGTTAAGTCCTACAAAACCTAAATGGAAAAGACCTTACAAGAGGAAGCGTGTATTTGGGACACTATCATCAAAAAATAAGAAACTGAAGTCTGCTAAAGTTCAGTCAGCCAAAGATGCAAAGAAGATTTTAGATGCTGGACCGGAGAGTTTGAAAAGCCCAATTATTCTGGGTCTTCAGGCTTTACCTCTAAGAAAGAAAACAGTTCGTTGGGACATTAAACCTGTCACCAGTGAATGTGGAAGGGTTTTGCATCCTTTTGGCTCTGTAGATTTTGTCAATCAGATGAAATCAATGCAGTGTGCAGCAAAAGACAAGTGCCTTGACAAGTTGTCAAATGACATCCCTGTGATGGTTCCTGACTCGGCTATAATGAATAAACAACTTGGCACAGCTTCACTGATGGCGACTGACATTTCAACTCCAACAAGTGATGATGGTGGTCAGATACCTTTGCCCCCTACCACGTGTACCACTTCTCCAAGAAATGCTGACACAAATAGTCTTTCATCTACAACGGTTGAGTCCAAACTGCCTGGAAACATTTCTCCAACCAAGATTTTTGCAAAAGGGGACCTATTACTAAGTAAACTAAAGTCAGTTCTCTCAAGTCGAAAGAGAGAGCTAGGTCTTATCAGGGAGCGACAAAAGACAGAATGTGTAGACCAAGAAAGCGAGCCTTGTTTGAAGAAAACCAAAGTGGACTCTGACAAAGAGACAATTGAGGATAATATAACTCCCCAAAGTGACAGTGTTTCCAAAATGGCATCCGTTGATCCTGGATTTGCATATTACTTAGGCTTGACCCCTAAAGAGAATGTAAAAAATGAGAAAGCAGAACATACCTTCTCGGAAAAACAGCAACAAATAATTCAAAAGCCCCCCTCATTTATTCCAACGAGGGGTAGAATAAAGACTCTGAAAAGACTTCAGGGCATCTCTGCTGAAACTGTTAAAAAGAAATGTAAGTCATATCTTTGAATTATTTAGAATTTGTAATATCTTGTGCTGTGAATATCTCTGACGTTGACCTTTCCTTGGCCCTGTCACCTCTCCTTAGCATGCTATTTCTATTCTTTACTATCTGTATTTACTTGAAAATTGTGTGTTTTCTTGCTAAAGCAGCATTTTTGCCTGTTTTGTCAAACTGTTTAAGCATGCCATGATTGAACAAGTAAACTTTGTCCCTTGTGAAACAAAGGAGTTACATGTTGGTGACAAATTACTCATTGTATTACAGAGGTGTATTTCATGTGCTTTCAATGTGCTACTTTATATCTTCATGCATTTTTCTCTTTTTCTTCTCTATTTTGTCTTCACAGGGTGGTTGCATTTTCAAACTCCAGCTTCTTTTACAAGTGAAAAAAAAATCAATGACTGTACTAGTGATAATACTGTCAGGAAGACTGTTAAGGAAAAAATGAAAAGTGATTGCACATCTACAGATGCTTTGAACTTACTTGCTGACTTGGCACTCAGTAATGACAAAATCCTTCCTCAACCAAATCAAGCACTTGAAAGTCCTCCCAAAGAGAGTATGAAGATATCTGACCTTTCAGAAGGTCTTTCCAGTGCTGGTCAAGAGTCAGTTCTTCACTCTTTGCTTAGAAATCCTGCTGCTAGAACAACTCCGCCTCTTGAGTCTCCCACAACATGCTCCCTTATGGCAGACAATGAACTGGTTGCTTTAATATCTTTAGATCATGCTTACTCACTTCCCCCATCTTCCTCTCTACTGTTGGATTTGCCAGGTACACCCTTCCAGGTACCACCCTTAAGTGGTTCAACGAGACTTCTAAACCATCACCACACAAAGTATGGCGATGGACTTAAAACACTACACGCCCCTGTCAATATGGAGGACACAGGTGAAAACATCAAGACCTCTGAATACCTGTCGAAGCAGAAGGAAAGGTTCAAAACCTCACGAACCTTCGTAATGAAGGAGAATACTATACAAGTCACCAGAAAATGGCAAGAAAACTACAACTTCAATCTAGACAGCAGGTTTACTAGTGACCCGAAGGATAAAGCAGTCATCAGAGCTTTGCATGGGTATGTACATTTTCATGTTAATTTTTTATTTATATATATATATATATAATATGATCGTGTGTATGAATATATCGGTGTGTTTTTTTTTTTGTTTTTTTTTATAGGCCATGGGATTTCTTCATCCAAGACACTACTGAAGAGGTGCGACTCATCTTCCACATGTGGATAGGCCTGTTTTACAGCCGGTCAACAGAACGGTTCTTTCAAGTTGATCCAAGTTTTATGCCACCATGTTCAGAGAAGAGTGGGCCACTCAAAATAACAAGTGGAACTTCATTAGGCCAAACTCGGCCGGAGCCTGAGATCAATTCAACTGCAACTCTAGCAGAAACTCCAAACCAGGGAGTTTCAGAAATGCTGGACTTAAGCAAACCAGAGAGCAGTGACTCAGTAACGGAATCTGAAATTTTGGATTTGTCGGTGAAAAAACTTGAAGCCAAACCTGTTCCATGGAGCAATCTACAGCCAGCAGCAGACCAACAGGAGAAGGAAACAATTCAGGTTGTGTTCTTTTTCCATACAAAGCAATAAACTGATTAAAAAAAATAATAAAAAAAAATTATTCAGTATATTTGCTGTTTCATAACCCTTTGATTAAATTAACATTTAATTATATTACTATATAATGTTATTAGCGTCTGTATTAATGTTTTTGATGTTCATTAATTATTAAACTGGTAGGTTTATCATTCAATATAGCAAAATTACATCGTAGTCTTTAGAAATTAAAGGTGTAGTGGAGGAGGCTCTTTTTCCGGGTGAATCCTCAAAATAAGTGGTCCTCCTAATTGTCAATCATTCTGGTGACATGTTTATGTAAGGTTGTCCTAGAGTAGTAGCAATTCAAATTTCCCCACTTTCATTGATGGGCCCTTGGCTGGTTCCCTACAATTCCTTTTTATACATCAATATTTTTTCCTTAAATATTCTGTCATGATTTGTGGACATTAAGATATAAAGACAAGCATCATCTCCTGGTCAGACCCTGTAATTAAGTGAAAGGGAGTCGGAGTAAATAAAATATGCAACAGGTGGGTCTCTCCAGTGGCTGGAAGTTTGTGGGAAGTGGGCTGCCATTCTCCTGGCGTTTGAGTGGGAAGGGCCATTTTGAATACCTGCTACTGTACGCGCTTGTCCCCCAGGTGGTGAGCCTGACATAGTTGAAAAATTGCAAATCCTCTTTTGGAAAGTAAGCTTGTGTGAGCGATGCAAATGGCAACCTTTAAACAGAACATGCACAAGGAAAAACGGGCTTGTGCATGCTCTCGCACGTGTTTAATAGGCGTTCCCTCTCAGGAACAGGGTTGTATAGTCACAGGAGCTCCAGTGACTGCATGCAAGGATGCATTCAGTTTGTACTTGAATTTTCTACCACCAACTAGGAAATTAAAACTGGAGCACCTTTGAAAGTGTAAGTCTAAACACTAGATAATACAATACATTAGTTGTGATTATCTGTGCTTTCTATATTAACACATTGTACTCTAAATTTCATGAGTTTTAAGAGAACTAATTGTTTATTGGGCTGTTGTCAGCTGTACCAATTATTTTCTTGTATAACTAATGCATTTTTTTTAAGGCTGACATTTATTACTAAAAAAACGCTAGATTTCTAAATCTAATTTTACCTTTTCCACTTTCTTTTACAGTTGAACAAAGTGATGCCACTTGTTGGTGAAATTTCCGGTGATAAAAAGAATGTAGAAATGAAATGTGAGGCAACTGAAACTCAGGAAAAGTCATTACTTTCTGATCATGATAAAAAACCTAAGAGTGACGAGACATTTGTCTTTCTTGAGCCTGAACCTGACAGAGCTACATTTGGAATTGGACCTGTGTCTTATGAATCTAATAAAGATGTCGTCTCTGAAAAAAATGGCGTTGAAAATCGAGAGGCTACAGTAAAGTGCTTACACAAGGAAGATGAACTGTGCTCACCCACACCCGCTTTGGACAAGAAGGAGAACTCCAACACAGGAGACAGCAATGTGATGGGTACAGATGTATGTGCTGGTGTGAAACTAAAGGCTAAGGAATCCTGCCAAAAGGGGAACTATCCATGCCAAGATGGCAATGAAACTCCTCTAGACATGATAAACACATGTGATACAAATGTGAACGAAGAATTAGATACTGTCTGTAATGGAGATGTAAAAGAGAAGCAGTCAAGTGAGCAAAGTTTAGAAAAGACTGACAGTCTTGGAGAAAATATGGATTTTTGTACAAGGCTTACAACAGAAGAGTTGGATAATGAAGATAAGTGTTTAAGAAAAGATGGAGATAATGAAGAGGAAAGCTGCTCTTCTGCAGCAGACATTGACAGAGATTTGAGAAATCCACTGTTACCCAAGCTGTGTGATGGTTTTATACAGCAAGCTTACATTTCAGAGATTAGCCGGATACAAATGGATGAACGGCTGCCATCGTCTGACAGCACAGGAGAGGCTCCCTTGAGTGGAAATCCCACAGTTTTGGAAGATGAAAGTCCCACTTTAGACACTCCATCAGAGCCTGCCCCTAAATTTCAAGACACTACGTTACAGGATATAAGCAAAAGAGACTGTCAGAAGCTGGTGTTGCCCATTTCTAATGAGAGCAGCTTATCATTCAAAGACTCCTACACAATTCCATGTCTTCCTCAGGAAAAGGATGGAATTGAATCCAAAAACATAGCATCAGACTTGAATTCTTGCACATCTAGTAATGACTGTAAAAGTCAGGAATCTAATTTGGAATGTAAAGAGGGAAACATTGGCAATGCTTTGCTAGAACTACAGATGTCCCATTCCAAATCTGAAGTTAAAGATGTGTCTAAGGTGGATGGAGAACAAACTGAAAACAGATATTCAATTGAGGAAATAAATGATCTTAGCAAAAGTCTAAATCTATACATCACAAAAGACGGGGCTGGACTGAATGTATCACCACAAGATGTAGAGGAAACTGAGGACCAGGAGCCAATACCCCTCCTCGGTACAGTTAGTATTTCTGCTGCTGACATGAATGGGTTCTACAGGAGATCTCCAACTCCCACTATAGATGAAAATCCTCATGGAATTGGCTTTTTTTCAAATCCAAGCAGTAGCACTGGTGTTACCAGTGATGGTGAAGACAACCATAATATTATTGGAAACTCAAAATCCTCTATGGAAGAGATGGCTTTAGAGGAGAAACTCCAAGCATCTGCAGGTGACACTAATCCTAAAACCAGTGCACATCTTAGTTCCGATGTCAAAAAAAGAACATTACGAGTTTTGAAAAGTATAAACGAGTTCCTTTCTACCTCAAACCATGTCGACAGCAAAAAATTTGTTGCCCCTTCATTGGGATCAAGGAACAAGCAAATAAAGGACAAAAAGACAAAGTTAGGATCAACCTGTATCTTGCAAACACGGACCAAAAAACAATCTGATCTCCACAAGGCTTTTGTAAAAAGTAAATCTAAAGATGTTCCTGGTTTAAAACGACCGCAGTTGAAAAAACATTTTTCAACTTCTTCAGATTGTTTTAAAATTGCTGACGAGAAAACACAGATAGGCCCAGATTTTCATCTTGAAAACGCCTCTATCTCTAAAGGTTTGCGAAAAGAGAAAATGAAATCACAATCCAATTCAAGTTGTAGTAGTAAGCATCCTGCCATTGCAGTAAAACCAGCTAAAAATGAGGAACATCTGCAACATTGGCTCTCTAAAGGCATGAATATTAAAACTACCTCCCAGAGTAAACAGGCTAGTGATTGTGTAACCACATACCTCTTAGCACCCTCTATGATTTTAATGGAAACAGAAACTTTTAAACAAAATTTAGATGGAGTTGTTAGTAAAAGTGTTCATGAGTCATATTCCAAAACCACTTGGTTGGAAAATAGTTCTTGCAGTAAATCTAACATAGATGGTACATTTGCCCCATTAGATCCAAATCACCACAAAAGAACCTTTTCAAAGCTCCACCCAATTTCATCTCCATCAGATGTACTGTGGCATAAATCTGGAAAAACCCTAACCCAAGGACTAGGGAATGGACACATCGTAAATGGGACAGGTGAGGATGTAATCGAACTTGTTAATCGAGGAGAAAGCTCAAACAAGCCGTTAACTCGTGACAAAAATGATGCACTAAGTGAGGATGATCGCAGTGCTCAAACGTCAGTCCAGTGTACAATCTTTAATAGTGGTGAGAAGGGTGCTTCCTCTTTTATAGAGCAGATTTCTCAAAGGTGTCTTCAAAATGATCTCACTCAAGCATCAATGGAACAAGAGTGCCTCATCTATTCTGAACAAATGAAAAATCTTATTAAGAATAAAAAAGAGACCCTTTGCCAGTTAGATACTAATAACACTTCAACGTCTTGTACCAGCCCCTTAACTGTCAGTTTTTCCAACCTTGAGGAACTTGATGATTCAATGGAGGATTTGGACACCCCTTTCGTTGAACAAAAAATAAAAGTAGATATATCTGACACTAAGAACCGGAGAGCTTCCAAGGAGGAAGGAAAGGCAGTCTGTTCTCCATCCCGTGAATTAAGTAACCCAATGGAGCATGTTGGGGTTTCTACCATGACTGCTGAATGTGCTAGACTGTATGAAGCAAAGATGCAAGATGTTTGCTCAGCCAAAAAGGTCCCACTGAGACTTAAAAGCAAAAAAGGTCATCAATGGGACACAAGAACTGACTCAAGTAACCATTTTGACTTCTGTGATCAAATGAAGAGAGATTTGGATGACACCTTCCGAAGTAATCTGAATGCGGTTGTGAAGAAATCCTGTAAAACAAAGTATAGATTCTACATATTGGTCACCTCTGATGACGTCTTCTTTGAAGAAACAAGGGTAAGTTATATTTTAATTTGCTTCGTTTGCATGGTTTTTGTGAAGGCACAGTCTTTAAAAAGGTATAACACTGTATAAATTGTGTTCAGTAAGCAACCATATATCATCTTGAAAAACTGATGTGTGATAGCAGTTTAGTTCCCTGTAGATTTGATGGATTTTCTTGACCTGATTCCCAGATGGGGCATCTTGCTTTTTGGAGTTTGAATATCACTTTGCTACCTGGGACAGACCCTTGCTCGCGTCATAGTTCGAAAGAAAACTAATAGCACCAGTGACCGTAGGGGTACTTAGTATGGCACTATGAACACCACTACTGCTGGTGTAGTGGATAAACATAAGCCTTTGACCTATGTTTACTCACAGCAATGGGTCTGTAACACGAACCAAGCTCAACGTACCCAGGGATATTTCCAGCCTATCCAGCTCAACCTATCCGCAGCAATTGCAATGGCCAAATGGCTTGCCAAAGGATTGCTGACTATATAAATACTGAAGTTTCACATCAGTGACATTTCACAAAGCCATTACTCTTAATCACTGTGCTGCATATTAATTGCATTTATGGCAGTTAGTCCCATCCTCCAAATGTAACCCCTATGGAATGAAGAGGACTCGGGATTACAGATAATCAGAAAAACACAAAAATGTAACTGTGTCAGAACCTAACAGGGGCAAATGGCAAAAAAGATCTACTCTTTTAAAAAGTGAAAGTGCTCAAACACCATGCATTTCTGAATGTACAGAAATACATCTTCCCTATTTAAATTAAACTTCCTGTGATGACTAGGCTTTTTGTTTCACTCTCATACAGACTCTCTGCTCTACCAGGCAGAAAGGGAAATGCTTGATCTATATTCAATTCAGTGTATATAGCGCCAAATTCACAACACAAGTCATCTCAAGGCACTTTACAGTTCAACCAGATCATACAGTCAAATTGATTCAAAATTTATTCTGAATATTCTATTTCACAGTTAAATTATAGGCATGGCTGTATGGCAGGTGGGATGCAACCACCATGCCAGGATGCAACTCAGCTTATGGTGTAGGTCTGCCTGGCTTCCTGTCCTGACCCCGATGTAGCCTGTGCCTGCAGCTGGGTGAGGGGACGCTCAGGGGGTGTCTAGGCCTGCCTTGGACTGCTTGTCCTTCAGCCATGGGTATAAGAGGTCTAAACTGATGTGAGGGCCTGGAATGGCTGTGACTGGCTAGGGCCGTGATAGGCTCTTCGGCGGCTTGGCTACCTGCTCAAGGGTCCTGTGGCCGGTGCTGTTGGGGGAATATACCTAGGCTACAGTGCTTCTCTCCTCCCTTTGGTGGCACCCAGTTCCATCCACCGAAACCCAGATCCAGCTGCCTGCCCTTTACCCACAATGAGTGGTCTCGGTATCTCCTCCTGGGTCTTTGGGCCTGATCCCCCTAGTGAGATTGGCCTCTAGACCCGGGAGGATACTCTAAGAATATGTTTAGTGTCCGATGAGAGGTGTCTGTGTCTGATCAGGAACATTGACTCATTCCTGGTGGCTGCTGGGCCGGTTCTAGGTCTCCTGGCCTAGTGGTGTCTACACTATGGGATTTTTATAGGATCAATCCTGAAAGCTATCCTGGCCTGGAGCTGGTGTGCAATTCAGATTTCATTACCATGGTAACTTTCCTTGGGTAAGAATCTATCCAGCTTTCTGTTGTCGGAAAGTTTGGGTTAAACCTGAAGTTGCCTTGCTAAGCTTGTAATCCGGCTTTGTGAAACAGGCCTACGCATGTGTACCAATATTCTAAATTCTCAGTAAAAGTATGGCCTCAGGCTAGGGCTGTTTGAGTGATTCTACAGAGAGCTGTTAAGACATTAAGCCACACCCAACAAATATTTGCATGGATTTCTATATTAATAGCTGGTTTGAGTTAGTACACTGCAACTCTAATATGGCTCAGATCCTGTGTTTGTGTTGCTGACCCTGTGTGAACAGAATTTGTGTTGAAACTTAACACGACAAGATTTTTTGGCGATAAGTCCAAATTTGAAGTTTGGCCGAGGCCACATGATTGATGCAGAAAAAACTCATTTGATAACTGTTGATTCCCAGATCTATTAAGTTTATGCATAGTCAATATAAAGCCTGTAACTTTGAAGCTTAGGAGGAGTTTCCTGAAATATGACATAAGTGAAATACTGCCAAGTGGTGGCTTTGATTCAACACTGTTAACTTCCTGAGGTCATAGTCATTTCAAAAAAGTAAAAAAAAAAACAATCCACTGGACTTGGTTTCCAAGTTTAAAGACGTTTGCTTCCCATCCAGGAAGCTTTTTCAATTCAAAATGTCAGAATTAGCTTTGAGTTCGAAGCTTTATATAGTAGCCCAAAAACTTGTTTTGGCTTAGAAAACATGCCAATTGAATCAGGAGAACGGGTCCGCCCTTATGCCTCTGAACGCGGTCGTTAGGTGCAATTGTTGGCTTGACTACCCAGGCGAGATGTTTTTTTGTTTTTTTTGTCCCCTGGATGGGGGTCGGGGGTTGAAATGATAGCGGGTAGGAATCAACTCTATCCCTGCCTTGTAGGTTTTTGAGAGCTGAAACCTGAGTCCCCCAAAGTTTAAGGTTGGTTTTTCTGTCTTAACATAAATGGCTTCCATAACACCCCTTTCAAAACACCTGTATTCTTTGCCTGAAATGTGAACAATCTGGTCCTCGAATGTCACTTGTCCTTAATGTGCAAGTGGACAGCAGAGTCATGTCGGGAGCTGGGAGCTCTTTTAGGCTAAACACAGAATTAATAATAGGCCTTTGCAGCTGTTTCGCTGCTGGGACCTAATAGACTTAAAATTAAACAAACTATTGTTATTTTGTGTACACAGAGCGTATACAAAATTAAATTTCTCGTGAGGATGGGTGGGGGCAGGTGGGCTCTTCTCTTCTTCTGCAGGAAATACAAGCGCTTCTGTGCCCTTTTGACCAGTGAGAAAGTGTTCATTGTCCAGGTGAGGTTGTCTGTGATGCGCAACCCCAGGAATTTGGTGCTGCTGACCACCTCTACGGATGAGCTATTAATGAGCAGTGGAGGGTGGTTAGGCCAGTACTTCCTAAAGTCGACAATGATCTCAGTCTTCTCCAAGTTCATGATCAGGCGCTTATCTCTGCACCAGCCCACCAGCTACTCCACTTCCTCTCTGTGGGATGATGGTGTTGAAAGCTGAAGTCCAGGAACAACATTTGCACATGGATGTTCTTCTCCAAGTCTGCTAGGCTTGGGTAAAGAGAGGAGGAGATGGCATCCTCAGTGGAGCGGTTCCGTCGGTAGTTGAACGGGTCGAATGTTGGGGGAGACTGGAGATGATGTGTTCTTTAATCAGCCTTTCGATGCACTTTATCGTGCTGGGAGTCAGTGCAACAGGCCGGTAGCCATTGATTGAGGTGACCTGAGGCTTCTTTGGGACCGGAATGCTGGTGGCAGAGTTAAAGCATGCTGGCACTATGGCTGGGACTAGCGAGTTGTTAAAAATCCCCCTGAGGACACCAGTCAGCTGACCTGCACACTCCTTGAACACCCACCCAGGTATGTTATCGGGCCCTGGGGCTTTTCTTGGGTTGACTCTCCTTAGAGTCTCCCACACATGAGCTGTGTCAAGGTTGAGTGCCTCCTCCCCCTGATGCGGAATGGGTTTATTCGCTGGAGTGCCGTTTAGTGCCTCAAACCTTTGAAAGAAATTGATTAGTTCATTTAGGAAGTCAGAATCAGCTGCACCCACCCAGGGGGGGAGTTGTAGACTGTGATCACCTGTATGCCTTGGCAAATCCTCCTTGTTTTTGCAGGCATCGAGAAAAAAATCCTAGATCTTCCAACTGTGGTTTTGCTTCGCTGTTTTGATGGCATGGTATTGGAGTTGGCGGAGTTGGTACTCGCTGTCCTCAGTGCCTCTCTTTCACCAGACTTGAAAGCTGAGTTCCGTGCTTTTAGCGGTTTCCGAACTTCCCCCTTTATCCTGGGTCGTTGGTTGGCCCGGGTGGTGATATTCATTGTGGTGCTGACGTCCTCAATGCATTTGTTGATGTATGCTGCCACAGTCATGGCATACTCGTTAATATTGATCTTGTTGTCATATGTAGCCGCAGCTTTGAACATGTTCCAGTCAGAGCATTTAAAACAGTCCTGGAGGTTCTCCATGCCCCTTTCAGTCCACACTCTGACCTCCTTCACTGTTTGCCATGATTCACTGGGGCCTGTATGCAGGAATTTGCATGAAAGATAAGTGATCTGATGACCCGAGGTGGGGGCGGAGAGAATTCATCTTTAGTGTTTTTTCATTAATATTATTCATACTTGAATTCATTTTTTTGGCCATAAACTCTTAATCCTTTCATCTGTTTGCTATCCTGTAGTTATCCTCCCTTATATTATTTTCCTACAGTCTGTAGTTTTATAGCTGATGAATGTACCAGCATGTAGGAAGCAGTGTCAATTTTTTTGTCCTTACAATGAAAAGTTAAAGTCTCAACACAATTTTATATTTTAGTATGGAAACTTGTGGTGTTCCAGTATCTGCAATTGTCTGCAGAGAAAAGCTCCTAACACAATGCTGAAAGAAACTTTTGTTTTAGAACCCTTGATTAAATATCTCAATATGTTGGCTCATTTTAAATGCTCTGAAGTTTAAGATTATGTGAAAACATTTGAAATGCATTAGATATCATCTTAAAGATGTGATGCGATAGTAAAAAAAAACATCTTGTATGCGTTTGGAAAGAGAGGAAGTCAGCTGTGGGGTTATCTTTTGGCTTATGGCAGTGATAGTGATGCAATGCATGACTGCAGGGTGTTTTTTAGCTGAAGCAGAAAAGCAATATCAAAATGGTAGGGAATAAAATGTCATCCAGGTCATAGTCATTCGCTTCCCATCCAGGAAACTTTTTCAATTCAAACCTACAATGCAGCAATTGAATTGATCCCTTCCTGCTATCATAGCACTCCCAACACCTTTACAGGGGAACAGAAGACCTCATCTACTGCACCAGGCCAACAATTTACCTCCCTTTAACGACTCCCGTTTCAAAGACATAGACAGTTAAGGGGCTTTTGTTGGGCTACTGTATAAAGCCTCGAACCCAACTCTATTTCTGACAGTTTTAATTGAAAAAGCTCCCTGGATGGAAAGCAAAACGTCTTCAAACTTGGAAACAAAGTCCAGTAGATTGTTTTTACTTTTTTGGAGTTAAAGTGAAATTAATATAACACGGGTTATTGGTCATACTAGCAATATTAATAGCACCCAAACATTTTCAACAGTGCATTTGTTTAAAAAAAGGTATATGTTTTGTTAAATTACCCCTTTGTTTGTCTCGAATTAGTGTAAGCTTTGTGCTGGCAATGGCGATTTTAAGTTTGGTTGTTTATTTTATTTTTATGTTTTTCCCCCAAAGGATCAGTTGGAGGCAGAGGGCCACTCTGCTGTTCAGCCATCTGAATTCTTCCTCGGTGAAGACAGTTCTTCCTCACTTCTCATCATCCTCAGGAATGAAGATATTGCGGACCACATTTGTAAGGTAAAGAAAGAACAGGTCAAGCTAATTGATTTTTGGTTAAATAAAGTGTCAGTATTTAATGGCTGATCTCAACCTTTCAGGTACCACATTTGCTCAAGCTGAAGCTGACCCCAGGTGTGCTGTTTGCTGGAATCGACGAACCAGATGATGTCATTAATCTCACTCATCAGGAGCTTTTCACTCGAGCTGGTTTTGTAATGGTTGACAGAGCAGTCCTGGAGCCCCTCAGCATCTGTATGTTCATGTATCTAAATCATTCTTTTTAGATTTAAATGTTATAGTGCTTCAAGAAGTGGTCCTAAATTTATACATTTTCAAATTTCGGTGAATTTGTAGGCAACATGAAAGAAATCTCAAAAAACCTGCAAGAGCTCAGTAAAACTGGGAAGTGGAAATGGATGCTACACTACAGAGACAGCCGTCGCCTGAAAGAAAATGCAAGGTTGGTTTTGTTATGCCATTCTGCTTAAAAACTAGTTATTTATTATCAGTTGAATGATTATAACTGTAATTTGCTTACTGACCAGGGTTTTAGCCCCTTTCCTAAAAGGTTTAGACTCCTGAATCTGGCTGTTAAAAGTCCAGTTGTCTTTGACAAATTTAGTCATTTAGGCTATGGCTCTTTGCAACGTTATTAATCACCAACCAAATAAATTAGTCTCTGTTCATTCGGATGCTACTGAAAGAAGAGTGAATCCAGCCTGAGTGATAAATCGTTTACTGGATAAAATTAACACAAAAGACCACAGGTTAAAAATACAAAGGTACCTTTATTAGCTACAGTACCACAGTATTATATCTAATAACTAAGCAAACACTAAACACTACTGAAAATAAGCAAAATGAAAGAAATAAAAGGGGAAGAGGGGTTTAAGAGTCCGTTCAAAGTCTGTGATGTTTGAAATTTAAGGCTTAATGCATTTTAAGTGTCCTGTATAATAGCAGCAGATAATATGTAAATAAACCCTGACACAGATGTTAACTGCAGTCAAAACAGTGAAGTTTTACTCAGTTTATGGTGAAAAATGAATAATGACTCCGGAATGCATTAAACTATAATGAGGCTGAAAGACCCGTTAGCTTAGCTGGCCTCCAGGGGTTTGGGTTCTGGTTCTGGTCGGGTCCAACTAAAACAAAAAGAGGGTTGGCTCACGATGTAGCAGTTAGCTTCAGCCGCACGTGACTTGTTCGGTCTGTAGTGAGCATTAGCATTAAGTTAAACCTTTAACCATCAGCAGTTCAATCAGAAAGCTTATTTCAAATAAAAAACCTATACCATTATCTATTCTACCTATAGTTCACCCAAGCAGAGTACTTATTAAGCATCAGATGTGAAGGAGGGGGAAGGATGCAGTTACTGTTTTTGGTTCAGTGGAGGGAAGGCCTTCGGCTCAGTCCAGTTCTCTGCAGGCCCGTCTTCGGTCCAGTCCGTTCGTCCAACAGCAACTCAAAGAGATTTGGATCAATCTGATGCTACAATAAGAGGCGATTTGCAAGGGGGTTTATTTCATAACTCACTGTTGAATGGGACGTTTCACTCTTAGCTATGGTGGTTAGCACTAAGCCACAACTTCCAGCAGCACCTCCGTAGCGCTGCTCCGTCCCTTCGTCTCACAGGCGGTCAAGGTCTGGTGGCTTCTAAGGGCTTCTTCGGCAAACAGCGGTCGGGGCCCCCGTTGTTCGGCGCTTAGCAGAGCTGGATTAGCTCTGCTCTGTCTCTGCTGCATCAGGATTCATGATAAACTGTGTTTACTCGGTTTGAATCGCAGAAAGAGTAAAAACGCTGCGTTCAGTTCCTTCTGAATTGCAAGAAAAAGGCAGTGTGACTCGGTCCAGCGAGCGCAGACTTCTCCGGAGGGGTTTGGTTGCTACGTAGCGTAGCCTTCAGCTGTGAGCACTTTTGTCTAGCCGTTAGCGGCACAGAGCCACCGGCAAAATAGGACAATAATATGAGAAGGTAGTGTTTTTAAAACCTACGCCGGAGGGGTGTGTCTTCAGAGATGCGTAGTTCCGGTCACATCAGTGAGAATCTCTTTAAAAGTCATTACGAAAACTATTCCAAAAAAGTTCAACAATCCACTGGACTTTGTTTCCAAGTGTGAAGACGTTTCACCTCCCATCATGGAAACCTTTTCAATTGAAAATTTCAGAAATAGCGTTGAGTTCAAGGCTGTATGGAGTAGCCCAACAAAGCTTTGTTTTGGCTTAGAAAATATATTGATTGATATGAAAAACTTTGTCACATGATTTAACATCCTTGATCATACGTGTTTATGCTAAACGTTATATTGAAATTCTTCACAGGATTTTTTTTTTTAATAATTTTTGTGTTAAAAGTTAACCTTTTCTGAACTTCAGGATGAGCGAAGAGGCGAACATGAAGAAGCTCTTCATGTACTGGTGCCAGGATGCTGGTATACTGGAGGTCTTGCCTTACCACGAGTGTGACCAGATGACCAAAGATCAACCAGACTATCTTGCATGTTTGTGCCGATTGCAAGTCCAACATATATCATCTCGTTTGACTGTTTTTATAACAGGTGAGAAACTATATTTGACACACCGTATTTTGTTAGTAATTGTTAAATTCATTGGTGAAGTCAGTAGGATATTTACCAGACTGTAAAGAAACGGAAATTGCTAGCAGTACATCATGGCAAAAATAAGTTTAAATTGGTGGCTTTATTGCCACTCCACTTCAGTTTAGGTGTATTGATCTAGTTGACATGAGATTGATGCTGCTTTCAATTAAGAACCAAACATTTCTTTATTAACACAGCATTAAAGGTATAGTGGAGGATAGGGGTGTAAATCACATCCTTAATGGAGATTGAATTCAGTATCGATTTCCTGACCCAACGATTCCTTTATTTTCGATACGATTCGATTAATTGGTTCATTTTTATTTTTTTTTACACCTTACAGGCTAGACAATGTTTCAAATTTGATATAAATCAATTAAAGCTGTAATATCGTTATGCTTTTTTTTTTTTTTGAGAAACAACAGCAAATAACGGAAGTAGAAAAGTTGCATCAAAAAATACTGCACAAAATCAGTGCAATGGGTGCAATGCAATATCTCGGCTCCAGACATCCCGCCCCCTCCACAGACGCTCCGCCGCACCTCTCCCAAATTGTAGGTGACCGCAGACAGAAGGCCGGCTTGTTTTGTTTTTATGACCGAAATTGCGGAAAACAACTCTCGAAGTTTGACCCGCTAGAAGAGTGAGGTGGGCGAGAACGCTGGGACCCTTTTTCCACCTGGATCTCTCTTTTTGGCCCTCATGTCCCTCCGTCGTCGGACTAAACTCGCCCCCACTGCCTCACCGCCTCGGCCGTATCTAGACCCACAGTGTGTAGCACAGACCACGCTTCAATATTGAGCATAATTTAAAAATGTCTGCGTCAAGCTTACTGCAACACACTGCTGTAAGAGTATAACCAGGAAGCGAGGTAGGAGGGCAAAATAGGTTTAGTGCCACCGCAGGACAGGAGGGAGAATTACACCCAGGAGCAAATGGATAAAAAAAGACCGGAGGAAAAAAAACATGAATTGATTCTCTTGCGGACGTATCGATGCATCGGATCGTCGGCTGTTGGATCGATGCACCGATACAAAACGATTATTATTTTCACTCCTACTTGAGAGTGAAGACTGCCCTAAAGCTATTTGCAACGTCTGCATCCTGGATATTTTTGTCCATATTATTTGCCCAGAGTTTGCCAGTGGTAACTGTTTACATTCCACCTTTTCCTTTTGCCACACTGCATTTTATGTAATCAGTTATGTTGTTGCTAACCTACAGGAACAACAGCCACATCCATTTGTTGCAATAACTCAATAACTGGTGAATTTAATCACCCCTCACTCTCTGCTACACTGCTATTGCTCTGATGCAACCCTGATTTTATCACAGTCCAGCCACGCAGAGTTTCCCCTCACCTTATACGCCCCCGGTGAAATGCGTCTGGGAAAAGCTGCAGCTGTTAGATCAGCTGATCCATGGGGCGAATGTGTTCAGTCAAAGAATATAGACCACATTCTTTCTACATCCATCAACCTTTGCAACAAGATAAAAAAAAAACATTTACAACATTAAATTTTCCTTTGGAAGATACAGAGTATTTAATTGATTTGTTAATGAGCTGCTCCCAGAGGCAGAAGGTTTTGGTTGTTTTTCTAAAAAACACCCACTTCTATTACAATACTTAGGGCCCTGTCACACCTTGCCGATATAGACAGCATATGCCTGATGTCCCAGAATCTTCTAAAAAACTGGCATATGTAGAACTTTCTATGTATTTTTTCAATTTTGATAGAGTATTCATAACGATTCCAGAACTTATGTCCAGCAACAGCCTAACTTTTGCATAACGTACAGCAGCGTAATGCCCATGAAATGATATACAAGCCAGTGTCCTGAGGGGGGCAGCAATGCGCCTGGAGGCACCCGGCCTGCATACAAAGATGTCTTTGATCGCGGTATTAACCCAGCCTAATAATAACACCGAAGTACAGCAATAATAATCAAGCATAACTCTCTGAATGTAACGTTACACACATATGGATCCATGTGATTTTATTTGCTTGATTCCCTCCTTCTTCGTCTTCTTCTTCTTGCATTTTATGGCGGTTGGCAAACAACTTTTGGTGCATTACCGCCACCAACTGCTTGATTTCCTCCTTCAATACTGGCAGTAATACCGCAGATCGTCACTGGGAGGCGAGGAGTCGAGGAACCGAGATAGCGTGATGTGTAAACGGCCTGGTTAACTGATCCGAGCTCGGACCGGTCTCGGCATGGATCGGTTTTTCAAGGGTAGTGTAAATGGGGTGAAGTCTGGAGGAGAACTGATGGTTTCCTCCTGTGAGCGCCCTTTTATAACAAAATGCGGCCAATGCGCCATTAAATAGTAGCTGTAAGTTAGAAACACATTCAGCGGTCGTCTGGAACACGTCAAATACGTTGATATGCGTTGGAGATAGGTTTCTTGATGAGTTATGCATAAGTTTGCACAAGTTACTCATAAGTTTTCGATAAGCTAGACGCCACAACTTATGAGTAACTTTCACTTAACGTATGGCAACCATCAGATAACTTACCTGTAACTTATTCCCCACGTATGGCATACGCTGGAACGTACTCGCTATATGTCGATGTTCGCCAGCGTACTTCAGCGTGCTTATACAAAACGTACCCATAGCTTTTTTGTCCGATTTTTCGTACGTCAGGCATTCGCTGGTCTAAATCGTCAAGGTGTGACGGGGCTTTAGTAATCTTCAGTTTATTCTGAATTTGAACAAAACAATAAACAGCAATTTGACAAATGTGTATATATCGTATTACTCTCGTATTTAACAAATAATTTAGGTCATTCCTAGAGAAATTAAGTGGCACGATTGAATGTTGTGGACTAATTGTTGAACCAGATATATGTGTAGGAAGCAAGGAGGTAGGGAGAAAGTTTGCATTAAGAATGGGACCCTGAACTATGTGGTCTCAGAACATTTAACTAAACACCAGTAAGAAGCAGGAGGTCAGAAAAAAAACATTTATTTCTACTTCCAAACGCAGTCAGAGAACCACATCCTCTCCACCAACAGGTTCAATCTAAGCTTTTTGTGGCATAAGAGGATATTTTCTTCAAAAGCTATAAAACAATGCAGTCAAATCAGTGTATTATTCAACTTGATCATTTAGAAAAATGTAAACCAAGTACTTATCACCATTTAAAAAAAAAATATTAACTGAATGAACAATATGGCCATGGGGAATTCAGAGGATGGTAGAGATCAGTTTACTATAATAATAATTGGACTTTATTGATCTCACATTGGGCTGCCATTGTGGGGTGCCCAAGGAGCAGTGTGGTGTTAAGGGTCTTGCTCAGAGACCCAGAGTGGCTGTCTGTGGTAGTGGGGCTTTAACTCAGAACCTCAGGACTCCACGCTCTATGCCCTAACCACTAGGCTAGGGGGGTGTAAATCACACCCATCATGGCGATTTGATTCAGTATCGATTTCCTGACCCAGCGATTCGATTATTTTCGATGCTCAAGAATACACCACGATACGATTCGATTAATTGGTTCTTTTTTTTTTTTTTTTTGAAATAAATCAATAAAAGCTGTAATATTGTTATGCATTTTTTTTGACAAACTACAGAAAATGTCTGTCATATTTTACTCGAAAGTCTACACCCCCATCTTTTCAGGAATTCTTAATATTTGTGCCCTGCTATCGGCCAGTTTCCATCCTCTGATATCTCTATGTCAAGCTTACTGCAACAGGAAGTGAGGTAGGAGGGCAAAATAGGTTTAGCGCCACCGCAGCACGGGAGGGAGAATTGCGTCCAGGAGCAAATGGATAAAAATAGACCGGAGGGAAAAAAAACACGAATCGATACTCTTGCGGACGTATCGATGCATCGATACAAAACGATTATTATTTACACCCCTAATTGAGCCGCTGCAGCTTGCAGCAGATTCGAATCCCACAAATTAATCCATTTAGCCCTAATTATGCAATGTGCTCTCTGTTCTCTGCCAAATCACTAACATGTTTTCCTTTTTTTTCCCCAGATGCAACCACAGAAGGTGCCTTTGAGGAGAATGGAATTTTAACAATGACTTTAAACGCTTTTCTCACAAAGTCTCCATCAGAAATCTTGAGTCAGAACTAAAAAAGAAGCCGAATGGATGAGATTCTCTGGACCTTCAGACAATCAGAAGCTCTTTACAGGCATGTTTGGAGTGATGGTTTTCCAACATGCTATACTACACAAGCATTTAATCCTAAATGAACATTTTTGTCAGCAAAAGTTTTTTTTTTCTTTTTTTTTAAGCAGGCCTCTTTTTTTTCCAGGCCTCTGTATAAATCCTAGCTCTAATTCTGTTATTGAATAGATTGGCGTTTTGCCGAAATGCTGGCAGCTGTGCTGTTTCAACCAACCTTTAACTTAAAGATTGTATATTGTGTTGTAATTTAGCCGTTTTTTAATGTTTCTCCTGACATACTGACTGTATATTTTTACAGCAAAGCAAGAAAGCTTCATCTGTCTGTTTTTTTTAAACATTGCATAATTTAAAGATTACACTTGTACAGTATTTCTTAAATGTTTTTAGTTTAACGATAGGCATTACTTGCAAAAGCCTGATAGCTACAGGTGCTGGTCATAAAATTAGAATATCATGAAAAAGTAGATTGATTTCAGTAATTCCATTTAAAAAGTGAAACTTGTATATTATATTCATACATTACATACAAACTCATATATTTCAGATGTTTATTTTGTTTAATTTTGATGATTACAAATGACAACAAATGAAAATCTGAAATTCATCATATCAGAAAATTAGAATATTACTGAAGACCAATAAAAACAAAGGATTTATAGAAATGTTGGCCAACTGAAAAGTATGAAAATGAAAAGTATGAGCATGTACAGCACTCAGTATTTAGTTGGGCCTCCTTTGGCCTGTATTACTGCAGCAATGCGGCGTGGCATGGAGTCGATCAGTCTGTGGCACTGCTCAGGTGTTATGATAGCCTAGGTTGCTCTAATAGTGGCTTTTAGCTCTTCTGAATTGTTGGGTCTGGTGTATTGCATCTTCTTCTTCACAATACCCCATAGATTTTCTATGGGGTTAAGGTCAGGAGAGTTTGCTGGCCAATTAAGAACAGGGATACCATGGTCCTTCAACCAGGTACTGGTAGCTTTGGCACTGTGTGCAGGTGCCAAGTCCTGTTGGAAAATGAAATCTGCATCTCCAAAAAGTTGGTCACCTGCAGGAAGCATGAAGTGCTCTAAAACTTCCTGGTATGTGGCTGCGTTGACCCTGGACCTCAGAAAACACAATGGACCAACACCAGCAGATGACATGGCACCCCAAACCATCACTGACTGTGGAAACTTTACACTGGACTTCAAGCAACGTGGATGAAGTGCCTCTCTTCTTTTCCTCCAGACTCTGGGACCTTGATTTCCAAAGGAAATGCAAAATTTACTTTCATCAGAGAACATGACTTTGGTCCTGTTTCTCTTTAGCCCAGGCAAGACGCTTCTGACGCTGTCTGTGGTTCAAGAGTGGCTTGACACAAGGAATGCGACAGCAGAAACCCATGTCTTTCATACGTCTGTGTGTGGTGGTTCTTGAAGCACTCACTCCAGCTGCAGTCCACTCTTTGTGAATCTCCCCCACATTTTTGAATGGGTTTTGTTTCACAATCCTCTCCAGGGTGCGGTTATCTCTCTTGCTTGTACACTTTTTTCGACCACATCTTTTCCTTCCCTTCGCCTCTCTATTAATGTGCTTGGACACTGAGCTCTGTGAACAGCCAGCCTCTTTAGCGATGACCTTTTGTGTCTTGCCCTCCTTGTGCAAGGTGTCGATGGTCGTCTTTTGGACAACTGTCAAGTCAGCAGTCTTCCCCATGATTGTGTAGCCTATAGAACTAGACTGAAAGACCATTTAAAGGCTTTTGCAGGTGGTTTGAGTTAATTAGCTGATTAGAGTGTGGCACCAGGGGCCATCAATTTTGAACCTTTTCACAATATTCTAATTTTCTGATATGATGAATTTGAGATTTTCATTTGTTGTCATTTGTAATCATCAAAATTAAACAAAATAAACATCTGAAATATATGAGTTTGTATGTAATGTATGAATATAATATACAAGTTTCACTTTTTAAATGGAATTACTGAAATCAATCTACTTTTTCATGATATTCTAATTTTATGACCAGCACCTGTATAGTGTTTTATTTGAATGTGTGTAAACAGGTATGAGATTCCGTCTTTGTATCTGGGAAAGTAGCTTTTCTATTTTCCTACTGTTTTTTTCTTTATATAAATGTTTATTAAACTTTCACAGAGTCTTATTTTCTCAAGCAGATTTAACTTGAAGCTTATAGCTTTGCACAGAATCTGTTTTTTTACACCCAATGATTGCATACCTTAAACTTGAATGGAACCATACGGAAAGCTACTGCAGGGATTTCTGCACAGTCTGGATGCTTTTCAGCTCTGGATACGTCTCCGAAGAAAAATGGAATAAAACCTGTATTTCTAGAACACGCTTTTACAAATCTGTTTTTTTTTTTTTTTTTTTTTTTATAAATTTCCCCCACCCATTACACTTCACCTGCATGCTGCCTCGCAGAAATAATTCAAACCCCTTGCAAGATTTTCACATTTCATCTCATTACAACCAGAGTGTCTGTTATGCAATGGAACATCAGAAAGGACAGAATTGGAAAATACTCAATACTTTTTTTTTTCAACAAAATCTGTATTTTATTAACTAAATTTTACTTTGATAAACCGAAATTAAATATTCCATTGCCATTGCATTGTTAAGTAATCCATATGTGTGTAACAACATCCAGTTTTGCTGTTTTAGGAGAGGTTTGTCAGAGAACACAGTACGGTGAAAGGCCATTAATGGGTCAGGAATTATGTTTTTGAGTTTTGAACAGATATCAAAGCACTTTTTTTAACCAGTGATGAGAAAACCCAAGTTTAGATAAAAACCTCTCAGGACGTTTTATGCCTAAAGAGACGAACCAATGACTGTTAACTAGAGAAGAAGACAAATAAGCCCTTGGTAGCCAGAGGAAAAAAGGACCTTTGTTTTGAGGAACACAAAGAGGTTTGTTTGCAGTTTTTGCAAAAGTGAAGGACTAAACCTGTGAGCCGACTTCTGCACTGAATATAAAAGTATACAGCTTTGTTCATTTTGAGAAAGAGAAGTTTAGAATAGAATATCTCTTTATTGTCCCTTATAGTTTGGACGACAATCTGATAAAAAAAATAGCCTTATAGACCTGATGCAGCTTTATTGCACATGAGTATTAAGGGGGTGATTATATGATTTCATTCATTAATTCAAAAATTAAGTTTTGTTTTGCTTCCTTCTGCATTTGCTTTCATCACACAGCAAGAAAACACTAATTTACACAGCAGTATTAATAAATAAATGAAGGATTTGGTCTCCAAGAGGAAACCAGGACTTTTCCTGTAACATTTAGAACAAGATTAAGTCTGAGATCAAATAAAGTCCTCTCCTCTTAGTCTGTATCTGATTATGAAATATACTCACTACACTTTCAGTCAACATTTTAGCAACAGTTTGAAGGATCTAGAGAAAAGTTTCAATCACTGCAAACCATTGAGCCTTTTTATCCAGCACCACCTTGTGTAGATAGGAAAACCTGCACAAGCAAACACCAAAAAGCCAATATAGCTCATATTCACAATTTATCTGAGCTTTTAAATATAGGAATAAGTCTGAATATTACCAGTGATATGTGAAAACTGGGGGGATAATTGATTTTATTTGCTGCCCTTGGTGCAAAAGCTAGCTCTACTTTCAGAGGTATAAACCTGGAAGTGACTATAGGTTCCTTAAAGCGTTTATATTCAGATTATCCTGCTAAAATAAGCAAGAGTCTGATTAAAGTGGTTCTTTTCTGACAAAGACGGCGCTCAGCCATCGAACATGTCGCCCCTGACTGTTCCTCCAACGATCTGACGGAGGAACTTCTTCTTCTTATGGGGTTTTATGGCGGTTGGCAGGCTTGTGAATTGTGCATTACCGCCACCAACTGATATGGAGTAAAGCAAGAAAACAGAAAACGATTCACCCAAAAAAAAAAAAAAAAAAAAAAAAAAAAAAAAAAAAAAAAAAAAAAAAAAAAAAAAAAAAAAAAAAAACCTGTGTAACTTAAACCAACATAATACTAAATCACATTTGCCCATATAATTTTAATTTACTCTAGGTCATCTTAACTCTGCCAGTTTCTGATGGTCCCATCGGTCCTCCCATCATACTTCCAACCATCTCCCAGTTCAAATCTTTAATGTCCAGGTATTTTTCTGCAGCCTTCACTATTATTTTGATTTTTTCCGTTTTTTTTGTTGTCTGTGCAGTACAATTAATTACTTCTACCATGAAAAGAACAAAATTTGTCTTTTTAACAATAAGTGAGTCTTCATCAATTTTTTGATTCTCTAGAGGTTTGGAATTTGCCGTGTGTTGAACTGTAGGTTTGGGTTTTTCTGACTGAGATGGGATCCTTTTTGCAGCTTCAGCGTAGGTTATTCCGAGCTCAAATTTCATTTTTTTAATTTCCTCAGACCTTTTGCTTGCTTCACAGCCGCGATAGGCAGCAGTATGTTCTCCACCACAATTACAGCATTTTATTATAGCTTCTTTTCCACATTTTCCGTACTCATGTTCTCCTGCACACCTTCCACACCTCTGTTTCCCTTTACAAACTGCTGCAATGTGACCGAATTTTTGGCATTTGAAACATCTCAATGGTGGAGGATTGTAGATTTTGACATTATAGCTTATGTAACCGATGAATACTTTGCTTGGTAATTGCTCTTCCTCAAATTTAATTAGCACTGATAAACTGTCAGATCTTTCTCCGTTTCTTGTTGTTTTTAACCGTTTTACTTCTTTTACTTTTGCACCGCTTATGTTTTCCAGAATCTCTTTTTCAGAAATTTTTAGAGGAACTCCTCCAATGACTCCCCTGCTGATCTTTTTGTTCTCCATTAGGCTGCACTGAACTCTTATCCCGTCAATTTTGTTGATCCGTATTGCTTTGCCTTGCTGGGCGCTGTCTCTGCAGTTAATTAGCAGGTCTCCACTGTACAGAATTCTGGCACCTCTGACTTCTCCGACAAGTTTATTGATGGTTTTTGTTAAGTGAACCGGATTCCAATTTGTAAAAGAGTCTGCCTGATTAACGACTTTGAATATGACTTTGAATTCATTTTGTTGTGCTGTGGAATGTATGGAATGATCATCACTGGATTGTTCTGAACTAGATTCCCCTTGAACTGATCTCTGTTTTTTCCGCTTTTTCTCATTTTTTGATGTTGCTATCTTCCAACCTTCATTGTCACTATTTCCCTCTTCCATCCCACAAGAATCGCTTCCTGTTTCCTCACTACTCACGGCCCAAGACATTTCTCCATAAGCAGCTTCAAAACACGCGCCATGCACCAAACGACCATCCACATGCAATCCTCCTCTCTCTGTCCTTCCGTGGCCCAACCGACAGGACGACCCACCAACCTTCCGAGCGCATGCGCCTTCTCCGACTACCCTCACGGAGGAACTTCCTGGATCCGTTCAGACAGAACAGATGTGCCGTTCATTACTGAACCGACTTGATCGACCGGTTCATGTAAAAGACCGAGGGTGTGTTCGATTTCAAAGGCTGCACCCTCCAAGGACCCAGGGTGTGTTTGAATTCATGCGATGCGTCCTCCGAAGGCCAGATTCGTAGGCCTATGACGTCAAGGGTAGAGACCTTAGTCAGTTAAATAACATGCTGCTGTCATTTTGCACATCTCTGATGTGCTATAAAAGGGGTTCTATAAAAGGGGTAGAAAGATATAAGTAAATCTAAACAATGTATGTCTAAAATATATCTGCAAAATATCTTATATTGAACAAAAAAATACTTAGTTAAGCAAATTGTGCAAAATAGCAATAAAAAAATAAAAATTATATTAGATGTATAATCCCCACATACATTACAATCTGTCCTTAAAGTACAACCAACCCAAACTCTTAGTTATAGTATCCTATCTATCCATGAATATCCCAGGATTCATTGCGAGACCATGCAAGCCGGCTGCTCAGTGCTCAGAGAAAAAAAGGTAAATGGCGCCAAACAGTGGTGAATATTGGAAGTTCAGTTTAATTAAATACAAGTATGTAAATAGTTCCGTCTGAAATGAATGAAAATAGTTGTTTTAATGGTTATTGAGTCAGATATGCGGCATATAATGTTTGATTTATCTAAAGGTTTTTATCTGTTTCTGTGTAAATGGGTTTGGCTGTAATTCTAATATACCTGCATTGTGGGGACTATTTATCTGATAGGATTTTTATTTTTCAATTGCTATTTTGCACAATAAGTAAGTATTTTTTGTTGTTGAATATAAAAGATTTTGCAGATGTATTTTTTTTTAAACATACCATTGTTTAAATTTACCTATATCTTTGTAACACCTTTTAAATATTAAAATAGAAAATCTCTTTAATGATGCAGCCTGCGACGCATCAATAAAGGGATTTTGCTTTTAAAAGATATAAATATAAAAAATATACCCTTGGATGTCTGGGGGACAGTGATTTGCCTACATGTTATGAATGCTGGCGTACAATAAAGAATAAATTATAAACAGTTTAGTTTGCGCCTTCAAGTTGATCGCCCATAGGAAGACGACAGAATATGGCAAGCCGTTTCAACATACAAAACTGCATATCTCCTATCCTAAAATACATTTAAGATATCTTGAATTATGGTGGCATTTGAGATATCTTTAATTATAATTATGACTAGTCAAAACTAAAATCGAGATATCTTGAATTTACTTTATGACTAGTCGTAATTTAATTGTAGATATCTGAAATGTGTATTTCAGATAGTCAATAATTCATTCTAGATATCGTAAATTGAGGTGTCCATACAAGTTAATGGTAAATCTGACATCATTTCGACTAGTCAGAATGTAATTAGAGATATCCTGAAGAGGAATTTTGACTAGTCAAAATATAATTAGAGATATCTTAAATCGCTAAAACGTCTAGTCATAAAGCAATTTGAGATATCTTGAATGTAAAGGCGACCCAACCGAATTTATGTTAAAACGGCTTGCTGTAAACGGAGTATCTTCAGAACAGCTCAAAGTGATACAAAACTCATATGGGTTAGTAGAACATGACGTAATAACGTAAAATCAAGGGCCCAAGGTAAAAAAATAAAATAATTTCCACTTTAACTTTTCTTAATTTTTACAGTGTCCCTAATCCTCTTCCGTACTTAACAGCTTGTGGAAAAAAAAAAAAAAAGCTGCCCACGACTGAAAGATTCGTTCATTCCGCGCTGAGCAAAAAGGTTCGGATCTCAGCAGATCGACCGAATTTCCTTTCTTGTCTGACAGTCTCTTCTGCGCATGCGCAGAACAGATCTCGGGGTTGGGTTTTTTACCGACGGAATCAAGATGGCGACTCTGGCGAAAGCGCCAATATATCTCCTAAAGTAAATGT